TATTACGTAGCAAATGTAACAATTTGGTGAGAACTGCAACGTCTTTGTAACGTTTTCTACACTTACAAATATCTTTCACATTTAAAACACGTACGTTACGACAACGTCAAATTTTACCGTTTACATTACGTAGCAAATGTACCAAATTTGGTGAGAACGCAACGTCTTTGTAACGTTTTTTACACTTACAAATATCTTTCACAATTAGAACACGTTACGACGACATCAAATTTTACCGTTTATATTACGTAGCAAATGAAACAATTTGGTGAGAAGTGCAACGTCTTTGTAACGTTTTCTACACTTACAAATATCTTTCACATTTAAAACACGTTACGACAACGTCAAATTTTACCGTTTACATTACGTAGCAAATGTACCAAATTTGGTGAGAACACAACGTCTTTGTAACGTTTTTTACACTTACAAATATCTTTCACATTTAGAACACGTTACGACAACATCAAATTTTACCGTTTATATTACGTAGCAAATGAAACAATTTGGTGAGAAGTGCAACGTCTTTGTAACGTTTTCTACACTTACAAATATCTTTCACGTTTAAAACACGTTACGACAACGTCAAATTTTACCGTTTACATTACGTAGCAAATGTACCAAATTTAGTGAGAACACAACGTCTTTGTAACGTTTTCTACACTTACAAATATCTTTCACATTTAAAACACGTTACGACAACGTCAAATTTTACCGTTTATATTACGTAGCAAATGAAACAATTTGGTGAGAACTGCAACGTCTTTGTAATGTTTCCTGCACTTACAAATATTTTACACATTTAAAAAACGTTACAACGTTAAATTTTACCGTTTATATTACGTAGCAAATGAAACAATTTGGTGAGAAGTGCAACGTCTTTGTAACGTTTTTTACACTTACAAATATCTTTCACGTTTAAAACACGTTACGACAACGTCAAATTTACCGTTTACATTACGTAGCAAATGTACCAAATTTGGTGAGAACACAGCGTCTTTGTAACGTTTTCTACACTTACAAATATCTTTCACATTTAAAACACGTTACGACAACGTCAAATTTTACCGTTTATATTACGTAGCAAATGAAACAATTTGGTGAGAAGTGCAACGTCTTTGTAACGTTCTCTGCACTTACAAATATCTTTCACGTTTAAAACACGTTACGACAACGTCAAATTTTACCGTTTACATTACGTAGCAAATGTACCAAATTTGGTGAGAGCACAACGTCTTTGTAACGTTTTCTACACTTACAAATATCTTGCACATTTAAAACACGTTACGACAACGTCAAATTTTACCGTTTATATTACGTAGCAAATGAAACAATTTGGTGAGAACTGCAACGTCTTTGTAATGTTTCCTACACTTACAAATATTTAACACATTTAAAAAACGTTACGACGACGTTAAATTTTACCGTTTATATTACGTTGCAAATGAACCAAACTGGTAAAAATTCAACGTCATTGTTACGTTTTTCACACCAGCACAAATTTCGAACTTTACTAACACATTACTACAACGTCATTTTTTAACCATCCACCGACGTTTTGCTGAATGTCACAATTTTACGTTGCTTTGACGTTTATATAACGGAAATATACAACGTCTCCAGTGAACTTATATACCACATATGAGTGACGTTACATTGACGTCACTGTTTGCTGGGTACTCTCATCACACCCCACACATTGGGGCGGCACCTTTTCACATCCTCTTGAACTCAATCCAGAACATTTCAATAGAGTTGAGTTCATACACCCTTGGAGGGAGTTGACCTCTTGTATTTGATGTTTAGTCAGTTGGTGCATTACATCAGGATTGTAAAGGTGGCAGCATGACCTTATAGGCATATGACAATCTTTAAATATTAACTCTCAACTGAACATTCACGAAATATGATGCCATTTTGAACAAATATGACACAAAATGGTAAATTATGTATTTGCGTCACTCAGTTATGAATGCCTATAATATCCACAAATTAAGAGATGTTCCTCAATATTTTTTTGTATGTCAGAATTTCACTTAAGTTTTCAAATATGTAATCAGATTTTGATAATACTGAAAACAAAAAAGTTATTAAAGAAAAAGTGACAATGCTGTCCGGGCTGCTATGTTAAACGGTGTAAAGCGCAATGACTGAAGTGTTTGTTATTTAATGAATGGAATTCTAGTATGCACCGATATTCAACCAAACTTTTGGCAAAATTTCCTTGGTTTTAAACCTTGTATATAGATGGATATAGTGTAGGTTATGTACTATATGTTTGTTATATCGGGTGTCCCAAAAATGACAAGTATTTTCTCCGCAAACGATAACTCTGATTCGTTGAAATTTCTATAAAGTAGCCTGGGAGTATCATTAGTTTAGTCCTACAACTATGAAAGAATATGGCTACAGATTATTTGAGTTGTAACAAATTCAAAAATGCATGTCATAAATCCAATATCAGAACTGCGCAATGAGACCTTCATATAGTTTGTGACAGCTATCAGGTAATGGCATCTGTCAATCAGTTTTAGTCTCAAAAAGCCTGTCTGTGTGACAGGTCTATTGATTTTTTCATGTTCTCTGTTTCCGACATCCATTCTGTTCAGATTTCAGTTTGGAAGGATTAACGATGCCTTTCAGTTAAAGCGATCGCGATAGGCTAAGTGTTTCAAGGTGAACGTGTGGGATGGATGATGAGTAAAGGCATAAAGGCAATGGTTGGAGTCATGTACAAGTAAGTGTAAATATATAGACTTATGAACAAAAATCTACATTCAATATGCATTATGAACGGGATTATTATGTCATGAGAGGCGATACTCACATAATATATTAGTGGGATCTTTTATGCACCTGCTAATGATATTCTATGGTTCCTCAATAAAAATGTTCAAAGAATTCGGCTTATCTACATTGCTGAGAAAAAACTTGTCAAAAAGTGGATAATTGTTTTGTTTTTTGGGCACCCGATATATTCTCACAGATATAGATCGGTATATATTTGTGTTGAGAGAAGAACTCCCATTTTGCCCATATTGTCATATATTATTTTATATTATATTATGTTATGTTATATTATATTATATTATATTATATTATATTATATTATACAGAGTGAGCAAATAAAAATGAGACTATCACATATATCCTATTCTATAACGGATTATAAACTTTGAACATTCCTGTACATGTATGTGAAATTTCAAATCAAACAATGCGAGTTTCCATTATTCTTTGAACAAGAAATGTGACGCATTACTTTTATTTCTCCTTATTTTTCATCATTTTACACATATCTTGCAAAAATCATTGTTATTTGTAGCCTAGACTATCTCCTATATTTCAAGAATATAATTGTAACAACAGTGTTATTTTTATCATAGAAACTGACGTTTAAGGGGAATCTTGCATGGATTGTTTAAAATAAACTGAAATCACGGTTTCTGTGCAAAATTGGAACTTCATTATGACGATAAGTTGTTGGATATCGAAACAAATTGAGGTTAGAATGACTCATGAATGGTAGAAAATGTTTCAGGGAGGCAACGTAATGTAGATTAATGCCTTTTCTGAGATTTAGTTATTATCACAGACAGAGATAGACATATTCGACATACCCATTTTCATGAATTTCTTCATATTTAGATTGTAAAATCTGTTTTTGTGAATTGAATTTTGACATTACAAACAGAGAGTGTCAAAATATTTCTACAACATTCTAGATAAGGCACATACTATTTTACTTTATTATGCACCTCATTAAAATACTCAGATCTGATTGGTTAAGGGCTGCAGGGTATATTGCCATACGTTGCAGCAAGATCTCGTTCTATCCAGTATTGAAGCAACGAGATATTCAACCATCCCGTATGCCAGGAAACCTATCCTCGAAAAAAATACTAGGCTCGGCTTCTGTTTAGTAGACCCGGTCTTTAAAATAAAATATTTCTCAAGGGAGGTGCATAATAAAATAAATACTGGATGACCATGAGGTGGATATGCCAGAATACCTATCCGAGGAAAAAAATACTAGGCGAGGCGAAGTTAAATCGATTTGCCATCTTTTGGTATATAACACCTGGTTTTAGATGTGATCCTGAACACTTCAAAAATGATACAAAGTGTATCAAAGTGTATTTTTTGGATAATATAAGTGACGCTTTTGGGAACTATTTTTTACCTTTCCTGCAGTGTTCTGTTATATCTTTTCAGAGAACTGACATTCTTCTTTCGCGTATTTATGTTTATCCCATACTTGGACGTGTTACAGGTACATAAAGCAGGGGTTTAAAAACTTATATTTTCATCAGCGGGTAGATATAGCTTTACGTCCCGCTCCGAGCGGGCAGATATAGTATATCTGCCCGCTACGTCATAATCGCCGTTCGCATATTAGTTCATTTTTGTAAAGTTCGAATAATGAAGAGAAACGCAGACAATCGCGATCTGTTTTAAAGAATGGAAGGAGCATACGTATCTCTGTTAATCATCAAAGATTCGAGAAAATAAATTTGGATGCACATCTGAAAGAACAGGAAAATCCGGCCACGGCCATGAAAACAAAACTTGACATGTATCTTCTAGAATAATTCCACGGTTGGTTGGAAGTTTTTTGAACTGTGACCAATTGAACAATGTGACCAAGATTGGTATAGGATAAACAGATCACCCTATAGTCGGTTCAGGATACTGGGATTATCACTTGGCCTATATATCTAACCTCGAGACCTACGGCCCTCGGCCAGATATATTATATTTGCCTCGGGATAATCCCAATATCCTGAACCTCATATAGGATAATCTCTATTTACATGATTACAATAGTGAGCCCGTAAATCATATATTGGATAAACAAAAATGAGAGAAAGAACCGATCGGCGTAAATAATAAATGCTCAAAATATGCTAAAAACCATGTGCTTTCTGTTATAACCTTCACCTTAAGTACCTATATAAAGGCAGAGTGTTGTTTTATTGCATGTGAATCAAAGTCCAATAGATCAACAATTGTAACACATATACACATTCTCAAATAAAGTAAAAATGACCACAACAGTGTTTATTCTTTGGACGATGGTGTTAGGAGGAATTGGATTCCTGCTCATTCAAATCTGTAGCTGGTTGTATCAGATGAAGAAACAAATTGATTTCTTTGAAACTTTCCCAGGTCCAAAACTGCACTGGATATATGGAAATCTACATCAGGTATGTACACATAATTAGTGTTGCTTCGAGGCTTGAATGATTTGGCTTCACAACTCGCACGTATTGAAAATCTGAAAGTTAAAGTAGACGGGGTTCAGAGATCTGATGCAAGTCTGCAGGTCCGGAGGTTCATTTTTCTATCACGGCAGTGTTATGAGGTCCTTTTACCTACTATCTTATCTTACATATCAAAGTTGTTTATCAGGTGACACTGGCAGAAAACAGGATAGCCTCTCCCTAAATTTGACTAAATGGGACTAAATTTTTTTAAATCTTGTTTAGAGAAAAATAGCTTTTCAGTTAGGCTTGAAATGTTCCAATCGGGGTAACTACTAATAATACTTAAAATAAATTATATAATAATCATGCAATAATTGGATTTATGAGATTATAAAAAGTTTGTTGAAGGGAGTAGTACACATGAAAGTATAGAATAAATGAAGTAAGAATGATCCATCCCCTGGACAAAGATCACATGACTGATGTCAAGGTCACGAGGTAACTTGGATTTCATTATTCCACTGAACTTCAAAGAAGTATGACAACTGAAAACAACTCACAACCCATCCTTGAACCAAGAAATATAGGGTAAAGTAGATAACATTTGAACATAAAAAGCTAAGCCAAACAATGAAATATCTTTAATTTAATAAAAATCAATAGATAATTAGCCTAATTAAGCTAATTAAGGGATGTCTCTAAGTAAGTTATGAAACATATCCCTTTAATAAGGCTAATTAATTTATCATTTAATTGTACTAATTAGGCTCCCTGACGGCAAACTGTTAGAATCAGAATAAATGATCTACTATTTAGATCGCGATACATTTACCTTCCTTGATAACATAGACCTTGGTTGATCGCGTTTTATGGTGCACTGTTTTGTGTCTCATAACAACCCCCCCCCTCCCTTCTCCAACCATCTGCACAATACAACCACCGGAAGAATTTATTTATTTGAATGTCACCCAATATATATTATCATTCATAAAGCCTTTCATATCATTTCAGAATCCTGGGCCAAACCAGAAAGGTCTTGATTGGAGGATTAGGCATCCACAGATGTACGGCAATGTTTACCGTTTGTACTATTCAATACTAAGACCAGTTCTCAACTTAGATGGACCGGAAGTTATTAAAGCTGCTGTAAAAAGTGGAGCGAAAAAGGTTTTAACAGGACCTGGTTATCGTTATTTTTATCCATGGTTGGGTACGTTTATGTTATTGGAGAGGTTAAGCTTTGCATATATAATCGAAACTGAACCTGTATGTATCACTCGACCATATACAAATTCATGTAGCCTTCTCATATAAATAGCCGTTCAAATCCAGTGTTTGTTTAGACTACACCATAGCGTGTAATGATTCTATAGTATGTCATTGATGCGGTTTTATAGCTGGTTTTCTAATACATATTTTAAACGAGCTCGTTTCGTAAGATTTTTGGCGCTAAATCATGCATGACATACATCATCGTGTTCAGCAAGAATTCAACTGTGCATCGAAATCAAAATTGACAGCATAGTGTTCAATAGACACGAGTAAAATGGTTCCCGTTGACCCAACGTCAAATATTCAAATCTCCCGTTCTAAACCCGAAACTCTGAAGCTGAAAGAGTATCTGAAGTAGACTAAGCGCGCATAAAACTATGAGCGCTCGATACATTCATTTGTTAATTTTTGTACTTTGCGTTCACGGTTACGTTGTGAAAAACATCGTTAGCTTAACCTCTCCATTGATTCATCGGTTATACGTATCATTTAAATACACCATCAAGTGTCTATACTCGTGAATGCACCTTATAAAAGTATCTAGTTATAACAAGACCGACGTATGATGTTAAACGTCTCACTTGACGGGGCTCGTGCCAACCCCTTCCCCGATCAATGTGGCACCATCCCATAAACATATTACAACAACAACAATTTGTTGGAGCAGGAGATGGTCTTTTGGTTAGCAAAGGTGCTAAATGGTTCCGTAACAGACGGCTCTTGACACCTGCCTTCCATTTTGACATCTTGAAACCTTACACCAACGTGTACAACACGGCAGCAGAGAAGTTAGGGGTAAGCTAAATTGACCCCAAAGTACCAATGCAAAAATATCAAAACGACTAATTTTCAGTTGGAAAATTAATTTTGTTAGGATGTAGTTGATGTTTGAAGAAAAAGATCCTGTGGTATTTGGCAAAAAGATCCTGTGATAACATATTTGATATTAATGTATCCATCGTCATGCGTCTAACTTCATAACCATTGCGACTGCTAAAAGTAAACACGTGACTGATGGCTTTTCATATAATGCCAAAACATTATGCCAAAAACAGCTATCTGAAGGTTATTTCCCTGTATAGTGCTATTGTTTGATTTTAGGCCAAATTTGACCGAGTGTGTGACAAATGCGAAAGTTTTGAAATATTTGGTCCGGTCAGTCTTGGTACCCTTGACGTGATGTTAACGTGTGCGTTTTCATACAACCAGAATATTCAAGAAATTGGGTATGATTTTATGATCATCATAGGCTACTTTGTTAGATGCTACAGATAATAGGTCAATATATACAAGTCCTTCAATGCACATATGAATTTTAAAAAATTCTCTTAAGGATTTTATTACTACAGGGTGATTTGGGGAATACAAATACCTATAAGGCATTTTATTTTTGGGCTTACCCCAAAGATTTGTAACATAACTTCATATAGTTTGAGAGGTGATGTTTTATTGTATAATACATATTCTTATATTATACATAAGTTTTCCTTATACAGGGTGACAAAAAAAAACTGGAACCCATAAATCATCAAATTTCTCGAAAAGTATTATACCTACATTCTTCATTTCTTCAGGGTAGAAACTAGACTGAATGCATGACAAAATGACACCATAGTGAGTACTGTAGCTTAGATATTAACCATGCCATGGACAACAGAAGAAAAGACTTATATTGTGAGAAAGTATATCGACACAAAATCCTATAAAGAGACACAAACTGCCTATAGGAGAGATCACAGGGCAAGAAGAGCCCCTTGCAAGTCACATATCTTTAGGCTTGTACAGAAGTTTGATTCAGAAGGAACTGTAAAACCAACAAAGAAGAAAAGTGATGGTAAAACAACCTATTCGGGGAGAGAGAGGTCTGTCAGAACTCAAGACAACTCAACAGTCAACACAGAACGTTACATCCCTAACGTTCAAAAGTTTTTTCAAAAGTTTTGGAGAGTACTGGGTAGACTACGTGACTTGAGAATGGACCAGCAATGGTTCCAACAAGATGGTGCCACTCCCCATACCTCAAATGAGTCCATTCGATGGCTTCAGGCTCATTTTGGTGATCGATGAATCAGTCACAATACCCGCCACATCTGCCCCCACCTACTCCCCTGATTTGAACCCCCCACATTTTATCTGTGGGGGTATCTCTAGAATAATGTGTATACAGATATTCCACTGACCATTGATGACCTCAAACTCAACATTGGAAGACTAATTAGAGAGATAGACAGAGATGAATGCAGTCGGGTCATTGACCATTTTGCGAAGAAGAATCCAGCTCTGCATCCAATGTAGTGGTGCACATTTGGAGCACATTATCTAATCGTGCCTCATTTGGAGACTAATTGAGCTAGAATGCTAAAACTTTAACATCTTGTCATACATTCAGTTGACTATACATGTAACAAATAACTAAGCTCAATATGCATAATTGACGAAGTTATTAAGACTTAAGTGGGTTCCAGTTTTTTTTGTCACCCTGTAGTATATATAAGTTCTCCTTATAGTACTTTATAAGTTCTCCTTGTAGTATATATAAGTTATGGAGTATACGTTAACCTTTTTTATTCCATAGTTAGCATGATATTCATAGGATAACATGTGAAAATAAAAACGGTATTTTTGTAATCAGTGGTAAAATATGATATTTTTGACAAATTTTCACTTAACCATAGCATACTGTTTTTTAGCCATGACATACGACGTCGTATGCGATGGTTTATGGATTTTTGCTACTTCAGACTCAAAACGAGGCTAAGTGTCAACATCGCCGGATCGTTTGGAAAATTCGAATTAAATTACTTAATTTCCGACGATTCTGACGATGACTTTAACTATGGAATAAAAAGAACATCCTATGATTTACTCGTGATATGATTTTAATCCACTCATGGATATTGATATCTGCACTCTCTCGCTACGCTCGCTCGTGCAGATATCATATCCATTCGTGGATAAAAATCATATCACTCATAAATCATAGGATATCCTCTATATATTGTTCATTATATCTTATATATTCATTATATAACTTTTAGTGTATACTTTGGCCTATCACGAGGAGAAATTATATTGTCTTCACCTCGCAAACGGTTTCGTATAGCTAATGCCGTGGTGGATGTATTCCCTATGCCAAACCTGTTTATTTGTAGGTTATTTGAGTTTAATACTGAAGAATAAATTGTAGTAATTTAATTTGCTATTGTGTAGTTCTTTGCCAATATAATGGAGATAAATGCTCTGAAATTTGGCACACAAGGACTTCATTCAATGTGGGATCCTCTGGAAAAGTTTTAATAATCATAGTCTTATATTGATAGAGTTATGGTTGTTTCAAAATATGCTCCAGATGTCGTCAATTTCGTGGAAAACAAACTTGCAATGTTCAAGGAAAACTGTTCATAACACGGATGTATTCTTCCCCATGGGTATGGCTCAAACTTTTGCAGCCATTGCTTATTGGAGTTCTGCAATTGCGGTAGGGTTATTTTCATACACATTATCCTTGAAATAACCCCATATATAGAAGTCGGGGGCATTGAGATCAAGACTGTGGGATGACCATGGGTTCTCTGTCCTAGGAGAGATCATCTTCTCATAGAAATGACTAGTGAGCCAGGCTATGCTATCATTAGAAGTCTGAGGAGAAGCTCCATCCTTCTAGAACCACTGTTCTTGTCTATTGAAGCCTCTATGCCACTCCAGAAGTGCCTAGAACTTCCTTGGAACGCAAATATTGCGCTGTGTGTTAACAGTAACAGTGTTGGCATTATGAACCTCAAACTAAAAGGGGCTGATGATTTCATGTTTGGAAATTGGCAGCCCAAGCTGTGCATTTAACAGAATGAAGGGGCCTTTGAAACACTACATCTGGAATTTGTGATCCCAGAACACATTATTTCTCGAGTTTACATGTTCAGAAAGAAGGGAATGTGATTCAACTGAAAACCTAACATTGGAAATGGACGATATTTGGAGCATATTTTGGAACGACCATAGCTCTATCAATATAAGACTATGATTATTGAAACTTTGCCAGAGGATCCCACATTGAATGAAGTCCTTGTGTGCCAAATTTCAGAGCAATTAATCGCCATTTAAGAAAAATATTGACGAAATGGAGGGTTGCATTTTTTGGGTCACCCTGTATTTGATATTCTAAATATTTAGCTTGTGATAATTCCCATCGTTGCAGTAAGGGTATGTTAGTATTAGCATAGATGAAGTCCTTTGAAGAAGGATGATAGTTTAGTTTAGTTTATTTATTTATTTATTTATAATGGTTAGTCTTACAATTCGATAATAAAATATATTTACCAATTTTTTACAATTTTACCCAAAACACCTTCGGCTTATTAACCACTGTTAACAATAGGAAATACAAAATAAATACATGAAAATCAATATCACATGTTGTAAATGAATTGCCTTCTCCGCACAAAAGCCATCTTCATAAAGGAGCATGTAAGGTATGGCAAGCCATTTTCAAAGGGCTATATCTTTGGTTAGAAGAATAATTTAACCACAAAATCAAATGGTTCTGTTAGATCCATGTCTTATCTTCAATAAATGACATGAGGATGATAATCAAGTTGATTGGATTATCTCTTAAGCTGTCCCTAATCCACCCATCCTCACCAATTTTCCCCAATTCTGACGCAATTTTCACCACAAGTGCAGGCCTTTTTAATAATTTTTAGTGCAAAGTTGTATTGAACTTTCAGACATGATTTAAACTGTAAAGGGGAAAATTTAATTATGAACCTACTTTTTAGTATTTTTTTTCGTGATTTTTTTGTATTTTTTCTGATATTATAAGGTGCTTCATACTTATATTATACAATTACAAAATAGAGGGCAGCTAAGTGTCATAAATAATTTTCAAACACTCGGATAGTGACTTACTCAGCCTTATGAATTGCCTTAATCCTGTATTTTACCTTGTATTGTTTGTGTATAAAACAGTTGTGTCATTCACGTAGAGCTATTTATATACTGAATAGTTCTTTGTAATTACATGTGCCTGGTTTTGGCTATTCAATCTAGACTCTTTGTTTGGGCCGGCTGAAATGAATAAGTGTGAAAATAAAATGAATTACAGGGTGAGGCAAAAAATGTCATCCAAAGAAATGTTATTAACTCATTCATCCAGTATGAGTTGAAATCATATTTAGTTAATCTTTTTGTATTTAACCATGTTTTATGGGTCCATTCCTCAAGGTCACAATTCTATGGCCATTCTACAAATTTCAGCCTCGTCCCTTCAGGCAGACCTGCACTGGTCGGTTGAGAATGTAAGGTCACCGTCACAGAAATTGTTCTCCTACTTGTTGTAGGGGTTGACATTATCTCAGAGATAGCCCGTAGTCATGAGATGAGGCTGGCATTTTGGACCATGGTTCGTTTTATAGCCATAAAATCCAGACTATTTGGGCAGGGTCAATTAAACTTAGTAAAATGAAAGAGCATTAAACAAGGTTTTATTATGCGAAATAACACTTTAACAGATGCGGAATTTGTTTGGGCTACATTTTTGGCTCACTCGGTATTAGACTGCACTTTGATAGTATTCATGATGTCATATGTTGGGTAAAAGGCGATGATTTAACCTACTGTTGATGGCAAATTCATTTTAATACGAATGAATAGTGGCAGGTGCTATTTATATCTAATGAGCCATAAAATAGTAGGTTGATCTGGCAGCTGTTAGTTGAATTCTCGATACTACTTGTAATGGGGTTTCAAAGGCCGTGGTCACCTATGTTGTTTCTTCATCCTAGGTCAAATCCACTCAAGAATGCCCTTAATTACAATGGTGTTATATTAGATGCAGCATCTATTAATTTCTTGAATCACAGCACCCCTAAGCTTAATCATAATTCCGTTGATTGACCTATAGCATAGGCCTAGGGAAAAGTAGTAGGAAGGCAGCTTATGAATGCTCTCGATGTTCATAAGCTTACTACTAGTTTTACATAGGCCTATGGCCTACAGATAAGTTTGGGATCCCTTATTAAAACCAAAAACTCTAATTCTAATTACAGCCCCTAAAAACAACAACCCCGAACCAAGTGCATGTGGCAGCCATTGAACCCAAAAGCATGTTTATATGCTAACCTATAATGAGACCCCCTTTAGTGAATAACAACCAGGTAGTCGTCTAAGGTATAGCAACATGTTCAGTTTGTAATTTTATAGAAGGTCACTGAATCCTCTAATCGTTCATTCAGTTATGGATAAACTATGAGTACTGGGTTTTATGAGAAGTAATAGCAAAGGGGCTTGGCCTGAGGCTATTAGCTCTCATAAGACCCATTTCGAATAATTTATCTAACTTAAAACCCACACTGACTCTTAGGAAGGGTAAATGACCCATGATGCAAGTTTAGAAAAATTATTTTGTATTAACTGTGAGGTAAATTTGTAGAGAAGTGGGTTGTTTTAATTGGTTCAGCTTCAATGCACCGCATGTTTCAGGCAAGGTACAGTTAAAAAGTGTATTTATTTTGTGTTTACAATTCAACTATTGAGTGATTGAAAATGGTTTAATAAGTACAGCTTCGGTGCACTGCATGTGACAGTCAAGGTGTAATATTGAGCCAAACACTGTCAATCATATTTTGTGCCACACTGGTTTTAGATAGCTTACGGTGTCCATTCTTCAAAAACAATACAACAAGAATGCACTCCTCTTTCTTACTCCTGTACATTCTTGAAGGTGAAAAAGGTCTTCAAATTGATCAGTTTTTCAAAATCAGATCAGCAGGGTCTCAAAAATTCAAATCTGACTTTAGATTTTACAATTATTGACCGCCAATGACCTCAAAGTAAAAAGGGTCTAAAAGGTATTTTTCAACTTGCTTCGAATTGACCGAATTTTCAAAATCACCTACAAGTTCTCAGAAGTCAAATCTGACTTTTGAATTGACATTTGACCTCTCAAGTTCAAAAAGTTTAAAAAGGCATTTTCAACTTGCTTCAAATAACCTTTTCTTTTCAAGATTTGACTTAAACTACAAGGTGGTGGCATTCGTATCTCATATCCATGTACATGGGTGGTGATACAGTTTTGAAGGGTTCAATTTTTAAAGTTCTAAAAGATTATTCAATGTAATGCTATCTGAGGTATAAATACATTCATAGTATCCATAGATGTGAAATTCGTCTAGTCAAAGATAGATAGATATAGAGTCATAAAATAAAGCCAGAATTGTTAATTTTAGTTTTTCATTGATTGTCAAAATAGCGCCATTCAAACACGTAGGTCTACAAGTGTATTAATGCACCAACAATTCATATAATCTGAATAATCTGAAACGTTAGAATTAAACTCTTCAAAGAATATATCATGCCCCAAGTACGCGGGTAAGTGGGTACGAGGTATAAGGTTTTTCATACAAAGCCCGAGGTATTGACTAAGAGAATAGAGTGATCGAGTGACAATATCATAATTACACAAGGCAATACACCTATTGTCAAAGGGTAAAACCCATAGCATTAAACTGTTTATTCCATAAAAATCCCAATCAGCAAAAACAATCCAATAAAAAGAACAGGCGCGTTTATTGGCAAATAATATCGCCATGGTCAAAATAAATAATTCTTAGATGTAACATGAAGAATGGAATGTTATATAACTCTTTGGAAAATATTAAAATGCTCGGGCACATATAGGCTGAGATAGGGGCCATTTAGTTCAGTAAGGTTGTATTGACTTACATGGGACTGTGCATCATTGACTTAACATGAGGATATCAGCAGATCCCTATAGAGGCCATTGGTTTCCATTGATTATCACCAAAATACTAAAAATACACTACGACCTGAATCGACTGCAACCTTAATAATTTCATAATATGACACAAATGGTTTATCTCATCAAATGTGCAAATATGAAGTTTGCAATCGATTCAGGTCATACTTAAAATTAAATGATTTTTTCATCATTTTTTCCCTACAAAATGGATATAGAAAAATGCTCCAAAAACAACTTTTACACTTATCAAAAATCATACAACTTCGTAAAACCAAAGAATATACTATTATGTTACATTATGTAGTAACATATGTGGATAAGATGTAGGGATGCTTAGGATGCAAATGGATTTTGACAGACATAAAAATACTTCCTGGTTTGGAATCTATGCCTCTACACTTCATGATTGAATTATGACCCTAATAAGTGGCCTATACATCAATACAGTGCTGAATATAGGTCAACAAGATACTAGTGTGCATATAAATGTAATAATTAAAGCAGAATACTCATTTTGAAAAATCAGATGAACTATTTTTTTTCTCATAGGGAGATCCCAATGGAGAGTGCATATGGTCCTTAGAAATGAACAAAAAGTGCAACAAATGTTTGGCCAAACCATTGGAGAAAATTATTATCTGCGTGTCTTCTGTATACAGTGGTACCTGTATCAATACCTACTACATATAACACTATTCGAAAGATCATTTATGTTTTACTGAACATACTTTACACGACACAGTCATGTTGACATTATCCATGCTCATTTCTATAATACGCAATTATGCAACATTGAATACACACTCAGGGTATTAAGCACTCACCTATGTAGAATATATCATGCCATCTATGGAACATATATAACTCTATCTATAAACATCATTGCATAAAATAGGGTACATCAAATGTCGCTCTAAGTGACATCTTTTCATACACTTCACACTAAGGTCATGGCCTATGAGGTAAAAATGACAAATGGATTATCAGATAATGCTTATCTCATTTAGATCATTTTTTTCTTTTTGGAAATCAATCATGTGAAATAGCTCAATGTTTTCGTGCATTAATCTCATTAAAAAATTGCTATTTTTAGGTAAAAAATTCGGCCTAAAAAAGTTATTGTTTTTGGATTATCCTAATCCCAAAGTAATCAAGTTTTCCTTTTTAGAGGTAGATCATTCCTTGCAATAAATTGTAATTTTGCGATAAAAGCTGAAATAAAATGCTGCATTTTTGGTGAAAATTGCGTCAGAATTAGGGAAAATTGGTGAAGATGGTTGGATTAGGAACAGCTTAAGAGATAATCCATTCAACTTGATTATCATCCTACTGTCATTTATTGAAGACAAGACATGGCTCTAACAGAACCTTTTGTTTTTGTGGTTAAAGCGTTATTCGAACTAAAGATATAGCCCTTTGAAAATGGCTTGCCATATCTTACGTGCACCTTTAACAATTTTACAGGTATGTTCCCTAAAAAGAAATTCAATTTTGCTACCTTCATTATCCAAATCTTTAAAATTTACCTCATCAAAGTATGTTTTTCTCAGATCATCATATCCACCCGTCGGTTGTTTTAGGCCCAACATGCATAATCGAATATAAAGCGTGTTGTTGCATTTTTGGTGTGCAAATAAAATATAATCTGCAACTGCGCTCTGTTCTGTATAAATATCCTTATGCAACAAACAAGTCCAAAACAGCAATTTGAGCGAAAGTATCATCATAATATTTATATAATTTCAATAAATGATAAAAAATCCCAAAGGCAAAGTTTCAAATTATTTATATTATACAGCAAAATACAGTATATAGTAATAAAGTCGATACTGAATCCTTGTATTTCAGAGATGATCACCCATACGTGAAAGCAGTGAAAGGACTGGCCAACCTTCTTCTAAAACGTTTTTTGTAAGTAATAAACACTTTTATATTTAACTTTCATCTTGACGTTTTGAACATGCAAAATATTAAGTATATCGCCTCGAATTAAATGCCTAGATTATCATATCATAACAATTGCATGCTTTTTAAAATCCATTTGCTTCTTGCCCCTTTCTTACAAAGGACATTTCTTAATTGAAATCGCCGTTATAACGCATGAAGATGTTACACTTGGTCATATTTCGGGAGTTGAGCTGCATGTATGAAGTGTACGCGAATACCATTTTTTAAATTAATCTACAATTTGATTATTTTTGCGTTTATGTGGCAGCAACCCAATTATGGACATTGACTGGTTATACTACCGGACAGCAGATGGGAAGCGATTTCTTGAACTATCGGAGTTTACGCACAGTGTTTCTGAAAATATAATTAAAGAGAGAAGGAAAAACCTGGTAAGAGTTTTCGAAACGTTGAATTACAAAGCCTACTACAATGAAATAGTAATTATTGTATCATTGTTTTATCGTTCGAGCTCCCATACTGTACAATTATTTTGTGACTTAATCTGATTTATTAGCCAGGGCCAGTTAGATGCCATTGCCATGTATTATCTTTAAGGGATCACATTCAATCTGACTAATTCAATCACTGTGAAGAAATTTACGAGTTGAGTATTTTTTATCTTGCTGGTCATGACCAGTTTGGAACCATTAACGTTTATATATTATGCAAAAAGGTACTAGATCACTTTATATATTATGCAAAAGGGTACTAGATCACTTAATATACGACTAGAATCATGGCCATCTTCCGTCTGATTAACAGAAACAAAGCCCTGGTTCCAATAAAGGTCGTCTTGACTTTTTGGATATTTTACTATCGGCTAAAGATGAAACTGGAAAGGGACTTGATGATATTGAAATTAGAGATGAGGTCGAGACGTTTTTGTTTGAAGGTAAGTTTTGTCTTAAATGTCCTTCCTAATCTGTTAATTATTATACAGTTCACATGTACATTGTTAGTGTAATTTCTTACTGTTGTAACAATAGTTTGAGGATTTAATCTATTGAAGGCCACGACACAACTGCAAGTGCCATCTCGTGGACACTTTACTCTCTAGCCCAATACCCAGAATGCTTAGCTAAAGTACAAGAAGAATTGGACGATGTGATTGGTCAAGACGTCAACCAACCAATAAAATGGTAAGACATGTCTGGGGGCAATATAACCCCCTGCCATGAGACTATATGATATCAGATAGTACAAATGATATTTTTCAATGTGTTTTATCCATGCATATCACACAGGATAATATACCTTCTAAAGGTGATCACTACAATGTCAAAAAACTCTAGATTGACGCAAATCTTGTATCGAGTATCTGCCAGCTTCTCTCCACATTATCCACTCTTCGAGAGAGAATTTTGTATCAATGGAGCCTGCTACAATTAATACTAGATTGGTGCATTAAAGGGAAGACCTGGCAAATCTGAATTACCTGACCTTGTGTATCAAAGAGGGGATGAGACTGCACTCCCCTGTACCCTTTATCGGGAGGATAACGGATAAAGAGATTGTCCTTGAGGGAAGAAAAATTCCACCAGGAATACGTATTGATATGAACTTGTACATGGTCCATCATAATCCGAATGTTTGGGGAGATGATCATATGGTATGTAATGTATTTTCCGAGTCAGAATAGTGTGTTTGCTCACGTTTTGGAGATATCTCCTTCCTCAATTAGATGCATCGTCCGTTCTTCCAGTCTACACATTAAGTACAATCAAAAAATATTTTCAGTAATAGTTCAAGTTATGTATGTTTATTTTGATACATTTAGGAATTCAAACCAGAAAGATTCGAAATTGACAATAGAGCAGATAAAGACAGCTATGCATTTATACCTTTTAGTGCTGGACCGAGGTATGTGAAATCATTATATAATACACTGTACATAGTAATATAATAGTGTTTGGTTTTGTTACATAATGCTGCATAATGTCAATGTTTGTTTGAGAGTAAGTTTTAGAATACTCTAAATAAATGCATGTGTACTGTAAGAACTTGCATAATTACCATTTCTACAACTTACAGAAGCTGCATCGGACAAAATTTTGCAATGAACGAAATGAAAGTGGTGATCGGGAGAATCGTCCACAAGTAAGTAAAAACAAGACACTTGTAAATGTCACCAGATTTTCTTCAAAATTCACAATATATAGCTTTTCGTTTTTAAAGCCAAAATGCAAGTTAGTGAAATAGTAAGTAGCCACCATGGACTGATACGGGATTTTGGCTGATACGGGATCCAACACGGGATTTGATGTGGGATTTTGGCTGATACGGGATCCAATACGGAATCTTATACTGTATTTTTTTAATATCATTTCCTTTCCCTGTTTACTCCCAGGGAAATGATGTTATTATTGAATAATACATATTAATTTGTGTATTTCAGGTACAATATTTCCGTCGACGAAACGCATGTCATAGAAAAGGTTCCAGAACTTATTATGCGAGCTAAAGATGGCATTAAACTATTTGTCACCTCTAGGGAAAAGATGTAGCTGACTTTGTTGTGTTGAGAAATGATTAGCTGACAGTTTGATGTAAAAAAACGATGGGGCTCTATTATCAACCTCAATGACTTAATTAAATACCTTCTTTGAAAGAACAGTATGACAAGAGCATAATGTAAAATTTCAACTGAAAAATTAGATCAAGTTGGAGTCCAAGTTCACAGTGGATGGTATAACTCATCAAGCACTATATCACTTTTTTAAAGCTTATTGTTACAGCCTTATGTTTTTAATTTGCTTCTGTTAGTTAGGATTATATCTTTGACCATTTATGAATTTTTGTGCACCATACAAGGTTACAGAACTTCATTTATGAACGATTTCAGCAGGGGTCTATTTTACGAAAGTTAAATATTTTTCGGGATAGTTCTTAGATGAAAAACTAGTACATTGTTACGATTAAATTACATCATTAAGGTGTATAAATTATGAAAACAGGCTTCATCCTGATGTCTACAATTTGATTCGTATCACGCCATATCACAAATGGGGGGGGGCATTGACCTCCACTTGGGGATCTTTATTACTTATAAGATTTTTAAACAGGCACTGAATAGGTGTAGACTTTTATAGATACGTTGATAGCAAGAAGATTTATACAATTAAAACTGTAAAATGAGAGAAAATCTCTCCCCTTTGCTTTATGCTTTGTTTATAAATGATGTAGAAGCCTTTTTACTTGACAATAGTTGTGAACCTATTCCACTTATGGATGACGCACAACTAAATGTACTTTTAAAGTTGCTTGTTTTATTGTATGCAGATGATACTCTGATCTGATATTTGCTAATTCTATGAACAATTTGCAAAATGCCTTTTCTAAATTATCACAATATTGTAAAAATGGAAAAATCCACATCAATTTAGATAAAACTAAGACAATGTGTTTCAGTAATAATAAAACTGGTAGAAGAGGTATTCAAAATGTAGTTTTAGATGGAATTAAACTGGGAGCATGATTTGAGCATAGTTGAAAATAGATGGCATGCCAGATTGTTTTGATTTAGTAAGGTCCTTTGAGTACATGTAGCAGATAGGGTATATGTAGACCCAAAGAATAAGTACAGTAAGATTGAAAACTGCATCATTGTTATTATCCTAGGTAGTATCTTGCTTGTGTAAGGAAAAATGCACATGTACTTTTAACTAGATATTGGAAGATAGGTGTTTATTATTTGTGAGGCATTCACATTTAGAGAATGCTTGCATATATAAAAGGTCAAGTTAGCACAGAAAAGAGAGAAAGTTAGAGAGAAAATGAAGAAGAAACCGAGAATCCGAATGTCACAATTAACACAGAATGGTTAAAAAAGACAAACAATAAAGAAGTTTACAAGATTTTACTAAAAAAGAACAATGCTGTGAAACTGCCAAAGAAGATGGAAGATAAGTGGCAAAACAAACTGCAACTACAAAATCCTTTGATGTGGGCCAAAATCCACAAAAATAGAAAAAATATTCTCAGGACAAAAGAGAAATATTTCCAAATAAAAATATTCTTCCGGATACTATATTATAACAAACAACTAAAACAAATGAACATAGACGGCTATAACACTGATATATGCAGTCTATGCCGTAGTGACATAGATACTTTAGAACATGGAATATACCATTGTGAGGCCGTACAAGACTTCCTAATAACATCTTTCAACCAACTTGACGAAGATGTACCCACAATTGAGACATTCCTTTTCGGAGATGGAAAAACAGAAAACGAACATCTATTCCTGAAACAAAAGATATTCCTAAACACATGTAAAAGGAAAATAAGGAGACCTAATATGATAGGCTGGCAAAACTTCCTAAAAACAGAGAAAAAAATAGAAGAAAGAATCAGCCAAAGAAGAAAAAAAACTGAACTTATGGAACAGCAATGGTTGAAACTCAAACATTTCATAACGTAGTAAAATACACACTGGGAACATAAAAAACCCCTCACCAAGCTCAAACCATCGAGCAGAAAATCACAAAAAATCCCCCTCTTGCCTTTTCCCTTGCCCCCCCCCCCCCTTCCCTTCCTCTTGTTATCAAAACTACTATGCTAAATAAGGCTAATATTATATATAAATACGATATTATAGCATATGCAACTACTGTATGTTTTCTTTCTACAATATTGTATTTGTACAACTTTTAATACAGAATAAAAAAAAATAAATAAAAAAAAGTTAGCACATTGTTGATAAGATTGACAACTGTTTTTGAAGTTATAACAGTATCGTATTTGAAACATGTCTGCCTCTGCAGACCTTATTGTAAATATTCATCATTGTACATATTTCATATTATTGCTTAGTTTTATAATACAGTTACATATATATTATATAATCCAATCATCTTTTTCTTATGTTTATTTGGTAAGATAGTTTGACGGTAGATTAAAGTCTAATAACAACCACCACACTCTCTAGACATACGCTACGGTACCATAGTAATTTCAAATATTTCAACGCCTTGTACTTTTTATTACGTCACGGCTAGGCGAGTGTGACCCCGGTTGTTACACTTTTATTCTATTGGCTGATGTGAACAGCAAAAATTAACTTTGTCATACTGTATCACTCTTGTTCGAGTGAATTTACCCATTCTGGTAATGCATCCCGTGCACTATGTGGATGTGTTGAACATGAGTTTTACTGAGTTTTACATGTCCGATATAGGGTGATACAACAAGAAAGAATTTGTATATTCGTCCTTCAGCTCAATTACAATTTAGTTTTTTTATATCGATCAAATAAATAGAGGATATCCTATGATTTATGAGTGATATGATTTTTATCCACGAATGGATATGATATCTGCACGAGCGAGCGTAGCGAGAGAGTGCAGATATCAATATCCATGAGTGGATTAAAATCATATCACGAGTAAATCATAGGATGTTCTTTTTATTCCATAGTTAAAGTCATCGTCAGAATCGTCGGAAATTAAGTAATTTAATTCGAATTTTCCAAACGATCCGGCGATGTTGACACTTAGCCTCGTTTTGAGTCTGAAGTAGCAAAAATCCATAAACCATCGCATACGACGTCGTATGTCATGGCTAAAAAACCGTATGCTATGGTTAAGTGAAAATTTGTCAAAAATATCATATTTTACCACTGATTACAAAAATACCGTTTTTATTTTCACATGTTATCCTATGAATATCATGCTAACTATGGAATAAAAATAAATATACGATTTACTATACACAGTACATACGCATTTATGAGAATTATTCTGCATCGAGGGGAAAGAGTACCCGTATATACAACCTACCGCCGAGCAAAGACCCGAAGATGTCTGAAAATGTAGGGGTTAAGTTATAAACTTTTGTTTATATCTTGAATTTCTCAATATGAGAAACAGATAAAACACAGAATTGTGTGTAACTGATAAATTTATAATTCCAGGCACTCATGTTTGAAAAATAATGAGTACTTAGCGCAATGTTTACTATCCAATCGCTAAATTCAACTTCTAAATATTTGAATGATGATTTACATCTTGAATAAGTATCAACCATGGCTGTCTTTACTTCATTCGATTCAAAGATACAATAGGTGTAAATGTATCATATTTATTTCACTGCCATACGTTGCATATCATTGAAATCACCGGTGAAAGTTGAAAATGAAAGACCCGATTATGTCACGAGTACGATTATATAGGACCCGAATCTACCACCTGAGTATTCCGACTATACCGTGAGTAGAACCCGATGAGGTAGTGAGTAAGCTTTCGAATGAGCATATAATATCATGGTGATATCACAAATATTCCTGTTTATTTATCATATACTCCTGGCACCGGAATATAATATAATATGATATAATTCCCGCAGCACTATACGTCGACGTCTGTTTCCGGCAAAGTTCTTAAAAACATTGAAATTATGCTTACACTTGAATCACCATAATTTCCTATGTGTCTGTGGTAAGAGTGCAACCCAAAAACATTTAATTCTGCATTGCAAGCGCCATTCTATTCAAAGAACACAACTTGAAGAATCCCTCGAATAGTACAACCTGTGGACCCCACTCAGTGGACAAGAAAAAATTGAATATCTAATTTTTCAAAATTCCCTTTCACTTGGAAAGGATTCTGAATTAAAAGAAAAGTTTGTTGAATTCGTTTCTAGTAAAACTTAATTCCCTTCTTCATGATTTACTGTTGGCATTAAAGCTTACTGGCACTTACTCACTCGCCTTCTCTAATTTTTGTTTTATGTATAACTTGAAATGCTAGCCTATAATGCAAAATGCGCTAGGCAGCGACTACTGTAATTACTCTATACTTTTTAAATTGAATAAATGTATATATGACGTGCACGGACCTGGGGACAATTCGGGAAATGCGGGCTTATCTCAGCTTTGAACGTTAATCTCTGCCTTATTTAAAAAGCCAACTATGCGTTTTACATATCATTTTGAAGTATTTTTTATTTGCATTTCAATAAAATTATTTTTCCTTCAAAATTTTGATGGGATCCAACACATTTTTAAAGTTAAATATACTCCGACATCGTCAAATACGCTGTAAGACGTAACACTTTACGCTTACAGGGCTCGTTGAAATTGAGATAACTTTTTAAATAATGATCAAAATCCCACTTAAATTTCACAATTTATTCAATGGAACATTTACATTTATGACGTCACAATTGCTTTACGGCTACATTTCAAATTATCTTATACGAACGCTTTTAAAATTTTCAAAATTGTGTAAGGTTTTGAAGGCGAATGGGACGAGCAATAAGTTTACCTTCATTTAACCTTCTAATTTAGGTCTGATATGAAAGAAAATTTAAATGCACAATATTGTCATGGCGAAATTTACAAAACAATAACCGGTTTGTTTATTTTGCAAATAATATCAAAATAAGAGCTGGTTTTCGAGACTTGAAAAAATGTGACGCATCGATTTTTACCACAAATTCCATACATATCAATTTTTACTAACGCCCCAAGTGGATTTCTTGACCGTTTTTCAAAATTTAAAAACATTTTAGAAATATTGTCCTCGAGATCTTGCTACCCTGTAAATTTTGTAATGATTAGATAAGGATAAAGTATTTTATTTTTAGGTTGACTAAACTTGTAAAAAATGTGACGCTTGTCGTTTTTGACGTTGTAAGGCTGTTTGCGCCCTATACTGCTCATTGTTTTGTTTTGTTTTTTGACGCCATAATGTTACGCTAATTGTCCCCAGTATCGTGCGACGTGTAATAATGAATGAATGGATATTTTCATTGTCGATGATCACTTCTATTCTATCTGATCATAGTCCAAAGATTTTGGTACGACATTTGGTCCTTCGCACTCGTTACCATGTTTTAATTTATTCAAAAACTTAATTATTTACTCAAACTGAACAGGTGTTATACAAAATGACTGCATAAAACATTTAAATCATTTTAAAAAGCACATACTGCTTGGAACTATATTCTTTGCAGTTCAATGCAAAGAAGTTATTTGTCAAACCATTTTCGGCGCTAAATTCAAAACCAATGAAAAAATAGTATCCATCAGATATACATAGGGATTATGTTCCTCCCGAGGGCTCATAGGAACCAAAGGAACACATATTGTATATCCCAAAGAATATTTTAATACTCAGTAATGGATGGTGCTGACTGAAGTGGACCACAAAGTCATCCATCTCGTGTGATTTATAACTACTGTGGAAGCATTTGTACCGAGGACCTGAAATACAATGTTTCGATGTGCAGTGGTAACTGGTGATGGCCACATTTTTTCAGTTTCATTGATTGTTCACAACAAAATGATTCACATGAATGATGCAGATTGTATGTTTATTATTTGTTCATCAGCACGTCATACACTCAACGATATAATCGGATCTCAACAGATTTTACTCAAGTAATGTTCGAATTCTGAGATCCTTTACTCAAGATATTTTCGGATCTTTATAATATTACTCGTCGATCACATCGGGTCCAATGTCCGATAACATCGGATCTTTTAACACAAAGTTTAAGTGAAGATTTTGCTGTTCAAAAGTGCTATTTTGACCTAATATTTTGACACTTATTATATTATGCATATGGACATCCATTTACCGACCCAAGTATGTCTTATGTATGGCTCATTATCAATTAAAGCGAGTATGAATGAGAAAAACAAATCGAAAACCATTATACGTTTAACTTATCTCTTAATTTGGACATAAAAATATATTTCAACTGTAATTCTAGGCCAATTGCGCCTGCTAGAACATCTTAGTAACAATTCTAACCATCCAAAGGAATTGATAGTGACATTATATTACCTTTATTGTCCATTTTCCTACGAGATGACATTATCAAACATTTGCTCGGCGGTATATGCGTGTCTTGCTCGGCGGTAGGTTGTATATACACGGGTACTCTTCCCCTCGTGATATATAACATATGAAATTACATTTTTAATTACACTGCGTTGAGTGTCATTTCTCCGTTCTACACAATGTGAAAAGTGCAATATTTATGACACTGCATGACTGTTTTATTGTTTAAGTGTGATATATCAGATATTATAAATAGAGGGTGTTCAAATGTCAATTAAAACAAACATTTGCATAAACGATGTATTTTTCAAATGCCATTTGGATTAGTGTCTTCGGGAATGAACGATGCATTACTACATTGTGGTGGTGTACTGGGTCCTGTACCGATTTCATAACATAACAGGTACAATTTTAATTACTGTACTACATCTAAATTTTGAACTTTTAAGGAGCAGGATTCTAACTGGGAAGAATCGTTCTACTTCAACTCTTGCTAGAATAAACAGACTTTTTATAGAATTGAACAGTCAATCAAAGAAGATTTGTATATTCTAAAGATCAAGTGCAAGCCTTTAATGAATTATTGAACCAATTGACTGATGTTTAGGAATACTAACTGCTTCGACCCTTTGTAAAGATGGAAGCATAACGGCGTATGACATCCCATGCAATTCAACTGTAACAGACTGCCCTATTGGGAGTAGATGTACCCAGTGGGAGTGTTGTGAATTGACGTGTAAACCATTGTAAACGTGGGTACCCACTGAGAGACCGCTTTACGGCAGCAATAACGACATGCTATAGAAACAGAAGAGGACAACTGAGATGTCCTGGAAATGCAACTTGTGAGAAACTGAAAGCAGGTGGCATCATACATAAAATATGCTGCAACGGAAGTGATTGTAGGTAGCATTTAGATGTTATACTTTGTGTTTCAGAAATGCAATCTATATACGTTTGTATAAATTAAATGTAATAAATTCACTAATTCATTAATACAAACATTTGTATATTTGTAATAAGTGCACCAATTCAAAACGAGTACAAAACTTGTATGTTGTAACAAGGACGTCTAGTCTTAATTGAAATAAGTACACTAATCAAAAATGGTACAAAACATTTTGTATATTGTAATAAGTACACTAAGTCAAATTAGTACAAAACATTTGTACATGTATATTGCAATAAGTACACTAAGTCAAATTAGTACAAAACATTTGTATATTGTAATAAGTACACTAAGTCAAATTAGTACAAAACATTTGTATATTGTAAAAATTAGTACCGTGCGTACTTGGCTCACATGGTGTTGCTCAAAAGTGAAAATAAAAAAAAACGGATATAATTTTTTGCCGATTTTTTGTAACAAAATTATTCCATACAACTACTCTTTACAAAGAAATGGCTTATTACAATGCAGGACACCTGAACTTATTTGTAAAGCTAGGAAATGGGCCAAATATGAATTTCCCGAGACAAAAAATGGTGGCCATTTTGAAAATGCGCGAGATTTTGAAGCAGGAGTCACAGTTTTTTATTCTTTATTGATGTTGAACAAAAATATTTTAAAACGGGAATCCTATCTACAGAGGATTTAAAAAGAGCCAAGTGTTGACAGACAGAGGTTTTAAAACTTGCCACTATTTTGGACTGACTGAGAGACAGATGGACAAATCAATGTTAACTAAAATGGCTGAAAATAAAATTAAACGGGAATCCTATCGACACAGATTTTAAAGCAAATGGTCCAAAGGTGAATTTCGCGAGACAAAATGGCGGCCATTTTGAAAATAAGCGAGCTTTTGAACCAGGAGTCATATGGGATTTGTTTGTATTGATGTTGAACAAAAATAACTTAAAACGGAAATCCTATCGACGCAAATGGTCAAAAAGTAAATTTCGCGAGACAAAAAATGGCGGCCATTTTGAAAACAGGCAAGCTTTTGAACCAGGAGTCATATGGAATTTTTTGTATTGATGTTGAACCAAAATAACTTAAAACGGGAATCCTATCGACACGGGTTTTAAAGCATAGGCAAGCTTTTGAACCAGGAGTCATATGGGAGTTTTTGTAAAAATGGTGGCCATTTTGAAAATAGGAAAGCTTTTAAAGCAGGAGTCATATGGGAGTTTTTTGTATTGATGTTGAACCAAAATAACTTAAAACGGAAATCCTATGGACACAGGTTTAAAAGCAAATGGTCCAAAGGGGAATTTCGCGAGACAAAAATGGCGGCCATTTTGAAAACAGGCAAGCTTTTTAACCAGGAGTCATATGTGAGTTTTTTCTATTGATGTTGAACCAAAATAACTAAAACGGGAATCCTATCGACACAGGTTTTAAAGCAAATGGTCTAAAGGTGAATTTTGCGAGACAAAAATGGCGGCCATTTTGAAAATAGGCATGCCTTTGAACCAGGAGTCATATGGAAGTTTTTTTTATTGATGTTGAACCAAAATAACTTAAAACGGGAATCCTATCGACACAGGTTTTAAAGCAAATGGTCCAAAGGTGAATTTCGCGAGACAAAAATGGCGGCCATTTTGAAAATAGGCGAGCTTTTGAACCAGGAGTCATATGGGAGTTTTTTTTATTGATGTTGAATCAAAATAACTTAAAACGGGAATCCTATCGACACAGGTTTTAAAGCAAATGGTCCAAAGGTGAATTTCGCGAGACAAAATGGCCGCCATTTTGATAATATGCGAGCTTTTGAGACAGGAATCATAGGAAGGTTTTCTATATTGATGTTGAACAAAAATGACTTAAAACTGGAACCCTATCGACAGAGGTTTTAAAATGGGCCAATTGTTGAAAGACGGACAGACAGACGGATGGACGGACAGACAGACGGACAAGTGAGTGATTGCAAAAGCTCACCATGTGAGCTCATAAGTACACTAAGTCAAATTAGTACAAAATAGATGTTTCATGTTTTACAAATGATTATTACTGAATTCTAATATACAAACTGCATATTACTGGTAGACATTATATAACAATGTGGGTAACAAAGAACTTGGGGTTATAACAGAAAGTTAAAGAATTGCTATATTATTTGTTGAAAACATGGATATAATGACGTAATGTTAAGAATACAATGGGCATTGGGAATGTTTAACTAAAATGACCACATTTGAATTCAACACCTCAAACACAGTTGAAATGTATAACATTTAGCTAGCAGAGACCACGTGTACAGTTGAGGGGGATGAGGTACCACGATGGAAAACATGGAGGTCAAAAGATGGTTGTCGCAAATGCAGGTGTAATAAACGGCTCCAGTGTAAGATAACGCATCTGCCTCAGTGTGTTACAACTACATCTGAATCATACACGATTCCAACACTTACGTATGAAGAACAATCATCTACTACTGACATCAATATGTCTATGTTACCCACTGATGTATCAATAACTTCGATTTCAATTCCAACAAAAGAAACACCAATAAAGGAAACATTTGCGCCAGTATTTCAAAGTACTACAGAAGTTAAAACAATCGAATTTTACGGCGATCAAAATATTACAGAAACTCAAATAACTGAACGTACAACACAGAATCAAACATCCGAGAGACTAACAACTGAAAGAGATACGCCTCCACTCCCAACGTTTAAACCAACTACGGCATTGACAATGGGTATGCTCCAACTAAGCATTTAAGTATAATAGATTGCTATATTTAGTGTATCATCCCAACATCTATACTACTGTGCATCGCATCCCAGATAGAATTGACATAGTCCAAAAATCTCCTGTTTTATAGGATGTATTTGGAGCAGTTGGGGATCTTACATCGACAGAATATGTTCAAAGCCGTGTGGGTCTGGCATATTGAAAAGGACGCGAACAAGAAACAAGATGATAGGCAGTTCCACTGACCCATCTCATTGTATTGGAAGCTCTGTTGATATTTCAACGATAATATGCAATACAATCAAATGTAAGCATGATAGGTTTATGTTTGAAATAAATCGCTTTTTGCTTTTTTAAAATTAGGAATCTCCTATTCAAACATGGATATGTGGAAACCTAGGCGCCAATCAAACGGGTATTACTTGCAATTTTCTATGTTGTTGTGTTTACAGACACCCATCTTTTGTTACAGTTTCATCTGAGTTTTGTACGTCTGAATATACCTAACATGTACATGTATAATGAATCTAGGTTGTATCTGGAGCAAGTGGAGTTCAAATGAGTATGTAACATGCACTAAACCCTGCGGAACTGGAATCAAGTTGAGCACTAGAACCAGAACTCGTATGTACATCACAACAGGGAATAGTCCTATATGTACAGGAGAGTCCATTCGAACAAATACTGCACCATGCAATACTAAACAATGTAAGAAAAACAAGCACCTGTATTTTTATCAGATCTGCTTATTATTATTTCGTCAACTGTCTTAATAAAGGACGACTCATATTTAACACAGGTTACATGAAAGAATGTAAACAAGCTACTGTTGTCATCACAAAACCATTTTTCTTCTTTTCACAACCTTTATTTTACCAAACAGGACATTTCGGATCTTGTCTGGATCCTTTTTCAACTGAATACAAACTTTTCCTGTGAAAGGAAGAAAAAATAGTTTTATGATTCAATAATCCAACCTGAAGAACATGTTTAAGAATACTGTTATCATGTTTGATAAGGTAATCACACAGTGATGTATGGTATTCATTATTCTACAGGTTGTAATTGGGGAAACTGGGGCAGTTATCAGTTTGGTCCATGCTCGAAAACTTGTGGTAGAGGGAAGCATACCGGAAGGCGTACGAGGAAAAAGGTTAATAGCAGTATTGGAACAACCCCAAACTGTAAAGGTTCACCTAAGTCAACGTTCAGCAGATCGTGTAATACACAACCGTGTCTCAAAACAGCATGTATGTACTTTCAAAAGGCGTATGTCCAAGATAGTACAGGTTGACCCAAAAAAATGCAACCCTCCATTTCTTCAATATTTTTCTTAAATGGAGATAAATTGCTCTGAGATTTGGCACTCATTCAATGTGGGATCCTCTGGAAAAGTTTTAATAATCATAGTCTTATATTGATAGAGTTATGGTTGTTTCAAAATATGCTCCAGATGTCGTCAATTTCGCTGAAAACAAAACTTGCAATGTTCAAGGAAAACTGTTCATAACACGGATGCATTCTTCCCAATGGGTATGGCTCAAATTTTTGCAGCCATTGCTTATTGGAGTTCTGCAATTGCGGTAGGGTTATTTTCATACACATTATCCTTTAAATAACCCCATATATAGAAGTCGGGGGCATTGAGATCAAGACTGAGATGACCATGGGTTCTCCGTCCTTGGAGAGATCATCTTCTCATAGAAATGACTAGTGAGCCAGGCTATTTCTTGTTTATTGACGCCTCAAAACCACTCTAGAACTGCCTAGAACTTCCTGGGAACGCAAATATTGCGCTGTGTCTTAACAGTAACAGTGTTGGCATTATCAACCTCAAACCAAAAGGGGCTGGTGATTTCATGTTTGGATATTGGCAGCCAAAGCTGTGCATTTAACAGAATGAAGGGGCCTTTGAAGCACTTCATCTGGAATTTGTGATCCCAGAACACATTATTTCTTGAGTTTACATGTTCAGAAAGAAGGGAGTGTGATTCATCTGAAAACCTTACATTGGAAATGGACGACATTTGGAGCATATTTTGGAACGACCATAGCTCTATCTATAAGACTATGGTTATTGAAACTTTGCCAGAGGATTCCACATTGAATGAAGTCATTGTGTGCCAAATTTCAGAGCAATTAATCTCCATTTAAGAAAAATATTGAAGAAATGGAGGGTTGCATTTTTTGGGTCACCCTGTATATTAAATATATATCAATATTTGCTATTTGCTGTGCGTCCAATTACACACCAAATCTTGTACTTCACGATAAAGACAGACTAAATATGTATCATCTCTTTTTAGCTGCAAGGGGCTGTCAACGGTGCGATTCTAGTTGCGGCAGATTTCCAGCAAACACAATGTGTTGCTTTGGCTGTTGTGTCACTCGCACTGGAGTCAAATCGAGCTGTTGTGGAAAACGTAGCTATGACACGTCTGGAAGCCTTTGCTGTGGAGGGAAAATAGTTAGCAAAACTGGATTTAGGTCACAATGCTGTGGCACCAGGAGTTATGACACTTCAAATAGTCTTTGCTGTGGAGGGAAGGTAGTTAGCAAAACTGGATTTAGGTCACAATGTTGTGGTAGGCGAAGTTACGACACAACAAACAGTCTCTGCTGCGATGGTGTGATCCAAGCAAAACCCGGTTTTAGGTCTGCATGTTGTTGTAAAAAGGCATATGACACTTCAAAAGCTAAATGTTGTAGCGGCTGTAGAATTTGCTCAAATTTTCCTTGGAATTGAACTTTGTACCCTCATCAAACTGTGAACATTTAAACATTTAAGGGATATGTAGACAGAATTTTAATGAACATTTTAATAAAATTAATTAAATGAAAGGTTTTTATTGCTTTTAATGAGAATACAGAATACAAAATCGTGAGGATAAACGATAAATGACATTCAATGCATGAAAGAGAATTTATAAGACACACCTGGTGGTCATTGCCTAAATGCTCTTTTGATTGAAATGGTATGAGGGTAGATCAGTCAATACTATTTACAAATGCTTCCATATCCATGCTCATGGTAGAAACAAGATAGAATTTTCCAAGACTGAAGGCAATTTATAGAATGTCTGTAGTTATTTTTGATACGAAGCCCAACTCATCAATACTGTTAACGTTCTCATTTTATATTTTATGAGCCACCAGGCCATTTCTGTAACACAGAACACAGACAACCTAAATAGACAATTGAGTGTTTGAACAATATATAAAACTTTATTGATAATAATCTTTAACATTAAAATGCAGTTATCGATTAATCTGTTGTTTCTTCCTTCTTTTCTTCTTCAGTGAAGAATTCCTGAAGAGCTTTTTGGATCTCAGCCTTAGCTTCTTCTATTTTTTGTTGTTTTTCCTCTCTTGCTTTTACGATGGCCTCTTTTCTCTACAACAGATCCATTGTAATTCACAATTTAGCTCAAAAATGATCGAAAATATTATTCATAATTAAAGAATTAATAAATAAACTGCAAGACGTAAACTAATGCATAATGTGCTGAATTTTATTCGTTTGCACATGTGTAAACATAGAAGGAAAACGTAACTGATCATTTTGCTTTGGATTTCCTAGCTTTGCTATTTCATAAGTGTTAACACGATTGATGATAAAATATGTCAAAGTGATTTAACAATTTCTATTTAAAATATTGAAGTACCTCAATCAGGGTTTTCTGTTGGTCCTCTGGAAGTTGATCAAATTCTTCATTCATGGTCTTAACAACTTCTTGCTTTGCAGCATCGACAGCTTCTTGGACCTCTTTTCTAGCAGCAGCAATTTCTTCCTGTGCTTGTTTTACTGTCTCTGCCATCTTTTGTCTCCTTTCCTCTCTGATTTTCTTTTGGTTTTCGATTTCTTCCTCCATTTTCTTCGAGAGCTATTTGACAAATAGAAAAACACACACATAAAATAACCCCATAACATAGGTAATTATAAAGTTAAAAATATTCGATGTAGACATTAATAAGTTGTTGGATACCGCGATGTATTACTCGTATTAGTCTACTAGTATGTTACTAGAATTACCTATTATTATAGTGTTACCGCCCGTTATCACATAACCAAAAGTATATACCATTATGATATCACATGTGATAAACAAATATTTTTGTTTAAATTACTCTTTGGGAAAAATAGTATGCATGATACCATCAATCAAAACTGATGCCCAACACTCATATTATATTAAAGAAAATGTACTATTTAAATTCTCTCATCATCCCAAACCCTAAGAAAAATACCAATTAAGAACATACACGTTTATGAAACTACAATATTACCTCTTCAGCCAATCTCTTGCGCTCTTCTTGTGCTTCTTGTTTCTTCTTCTCTAGTTCTTCCTGGGCCTTTTGCTTGGCAGCTCTTGCCTGAAAACAGCAGGCTTTATTCAAAAGTTTGTCATACACTCTTACGTGTATTTGTTCTTTCTGTTTTATTTGCTTTACCCGATGATAGTTTTCAAACACAAACCAATCGTTGGAGAGCTATGTGATCATAAGTGTTGGTGCCCATTATCAGTCATAGACTTCGGCACGTAATTTGCAAATTGTTTGCTTGAAAGGTTCCCATGAATATCACATAAATATGTCGTCCATACCTCAAGAAGCTCATTCTGGTCCTCCTCAGAAAGTCCATTGAATTTATTTTCAAGTTCTTCCTTGATGTCTTCTTCGGTCTGTATAATAGTTTCCTCAAATTCCTTCTTCAAGTCTTCCATCTGTTTTTTCTGCTCTTCTTTTCTCTTCTGCAATTTAGAACTCACTTCAGAATATATTTATTCAAATTTGACGGAAGACAAGAGGACGACAATACTACTGACTTTATAAAAATCTTAATTGTATTTTACTTACATTAACGGCTGCTTCTCTCTTCTCCCAGAGTGATCTTGCATCAATGAGAATTTCTTGGATATCCTCGGGGAGTTTATCAAATTCAGCTTCAGCTTCTCCAATCATGCCTCTCTGGATCTCATTCTTTAAAAGACAAGTGGGCTTTTCAAATAGCATTTATATTAAAATAATATACGATCAAATGATTTCAATTTGAGCATGTAGGAAGCATGATTATAAAAACAAATTCCAAACATTTTCTACTAACATAGTTCTAGTATCGTATTGTCTCCAATCAAAGCGATTTCAAAGTTTTTCCAGTCACGAATGGCTCGCCGTACGTTTTCATACTTAAATAAATCATCTTACAAATTACTTAACGTACAACCAATTGTTCTAGTTCCTTCTGGAGCTGTTCCTCTTCGGTCAACTCCTCATCCTCCTGCTTTTCTTCAATTTCCAATTCTTCCTTCCTCTCAACTTCTTCAGTGAAAAGTTCCTTTAGGGCTTTCTGGATTTCAGCCTTTGCTTCTTCAGTTTTTTGTTTTCTCTCCTCTCTTGCTTTTACGATGGCCTCTTTTCGCTTAAATATATTAGATAGGTAAATGAGTTTTCCCCTACTACAGTGTCAACGATAGTACATATTATTTATTCATCATTGAGTTATAAATGGATTAACATAGAATAATGAATATAAAGCAATTTGATTATTGAACTTTTATTTGAATCATTAATCTACCTCAATCAAGGTTTTCTGTTGATCCTCTGGAAGTTGATCGAATTCTTCATTCATGGTCTTAACAACTTCTTGCTTTGCAGCATCGACAGCTTCTTGGACTTGTTTTCTAGCAGCAGCAATTTCTTCCTGTGCTTGTTTTACTGCCTCTGCCATCTTCTGTCTCCTTTCCTCTCTGATTTTCTTTTGGTTTTCGATTTCTTCCTCCATTTTCTTCAAGAGCTGGTGAAATAAGAAGTTGGTATAAGGAAAGAAATCAATTCATTTTCTCAAAGTACCAAAACCAAGAATGTATAAATTAAAAGTATGGTTATAATCATTTATGTAAATATTAGTACTATGTTACCTCTTCAGCCAATCGCTTGCGCTCTTCTTGTGCTTCTTGTTTCTTCTTCCTTAATTCTTCTTGGGCCTTTTGCTTGGCAGCTCTTGCCTAAAAAACAGTGAACAACATTTTACTGTTTTGTCACAAATTGTGTTTTACCAGGATTTTATTGATTGAATGATCTTACTTTACAGTGGTTTCTGTGCATTAAGTGGTAATTGATTTGCAATGTGATCACAAATCTAATGTCCATGATTATTCAAAGATTTTGAAAGTTTCGTATATACAACTTGCATATTATTCGATATACGAAATGTTTCTGGTGTTGTAACATCAATATATAGTTCATACCTCGAGAAGTTCATTCTGGTCCTCCTCGGAAAGTTCATTGAATTTATTTTCCAGTTCTTCCTTGATGTCTTCTTTGGTCTGTTGAACAGTTTCCTCAAATTCCTTTTTCAAGTCTTCCATCTGTTTTTTCTGCTCTTCCTTCCTCTTCTGCAATTTAAAATATACTTTTATAACATATTACATTTTTTTACATGAATGTGTGCCACACCTGTTTGTTCCACATTATCTGTACCTGAATGCTTGTATGAGTACAAAATATAATTTACTCTTTCATATCAATGGAGCAGACATGAAGATAAGGTAACAACTGGATCACTGACATCAATATCGGTACTTTGTTCAACCTACATTGATGGCTGCTTCTCTCTTCTCCCAGAGTGCTCTGGCATCGATGAGAATTTCTTGGATATCTTCAGGGAGTTTATCAAAATCAGATTCGGCTTCTTCAATCATACCTTTTTGGATCTCATCCTTAAAAGAACAAACAGACTTAGAAAAGGGATTTACAAATACCTATATTTGTTCAAATAGTAGATCAATGCACAGTGGGTATGACTTAGAGATTGAAATTTCAGAATCTACAGGAATGATGATAAAAACAGATTCCTACCAGATAATTAAGGACTGTCAACATATTTCCAGAAACGAGTACCAATAAAAGTATAGCATAGTACTGTCTGACCTCAATGTTATGTCACAAATTATTTAATTTTATTTATTATTTAATTTAAATCTTAATGTACCACCAATTGTTCCAATTCCTTCTGCAGCTGCTCCTCTTCAGTCAACTCCTCATCCTCCTGCTTTTCCTAAACACAGGATCAAACATATAAGTATATGATGCAATTGCAAAATCATGCGTACGTATTATGACCTCGACCCTACTTTATTTTGAACATTGTTTTTGACAAACAGTCTTCATCAAATCATCATAAATACTAGCAAGGGATATTCAGCGAAAAGACTAGATGTTGTTATAACTTATAGCTGTTGCATAACATATTTGAAACATCAAGAGTATGGTTTAAAACGCCAAACATGAAATTAAGGTGCATTCATGAAATAAACTTAATGTATATGCAATTATAAACATTTTTTCATTCACAGACGTAACATTGCATTCTTCATTTATTTTAGTTTACTATGATCAGTAGAACGATTACTACGTCACATACCCATGATCTTATTTCGGCACCGAGTTCAGCGAAGATTGCATCCATTGTATCGGAAACTTCAGTGGTCATTTCATCAATTGTCGCGAGGAGTTCGTCAAGGTCCTTCTGCAGGTCCTTTTCCCATTGTCCTTCATCAACCTCATCTTCCTAGCCAAAGAAAGTCACTAATATTATTCAACTACTATTATAAGAAAGGCAACATAATACCAATATGAAAGCAAAGTGACATACATGGAAAGGCCAACGAGTATTACCAAACATAATACAAAAATGAACATCTTAGAGCAGAAATGTGTGCGCATATGTGCCAAAGGGAAAGGACAAATATGGTTACAGAACCGGCAAGAGAAAGAAAACATCTTAATGTACACCAGTCATAAGGAAAACAAATCCTGATTTTCCCAAATAATCCAACTTGAAAAGAAACAATGTATATTCACGAACCCATGATATGATGCTATACACATAAACAAGCTCGGATATATAGGTTCATGAGCCCCTAATAGTTTTACCTGGCTTTTTATTTCCTCTTCTTTCTCCTCGGCACCTTCGAAGAAGAGTTCGTTAATAATGGTTTCGTAAATCTCAAGGACTTCATCAGAAAGTTGCTCGACGGTTTCGAAATATTCCTTCATTAACTGATCGAAAGCATTGATTTCTTCTTCCTCGGTTACTTCATCTTCAGCTTTCTCTTCTTCAGTTGTTTCCATTTCTTTCAGAGCTTTCTCGAGTTCAGCCTTGGCTTCTTCTTTCATCTTTCTCCTCTCCTCTTTGGCCTGTTCAACAGCTTGCTTCCTCTATGATTAAAATACATAATTTGTTATCGCAGCTATACGTGTAAGTAAGTTTATATCATATAGCATACACATATCATTTTGGTACACGTTATACAAGTTATATTCTTGCGCATTACAATACCTTGGACCAAGTTTAATCCAATTTCTATAAAAGAAATTACCAACCTCCAGCATTTCCTTCTGTTCTGCTTCTGGGAGTTTATCAAAATCTTCATTTAGGGCATTGATGAATTCTTCTCTTGCCTGATTGACTTCTGTCTTCACCTGCTCGACAGCTTCCTTCATCTTTTGGATCTCCTCTTCTCTGGTTTTCTTCTGGTTCTCAATTTCCTCTTCCAGCTGTTTTCTGATCTAAGTGGCAGATTTATTACATAGTACATAAGATATTATAATTCATATACATATCAATATTTTAAAATACAATGTTTATGTTCTGGTTACTTTATGTTGTATAATTACTGGGGATTAAACTGAGTGTCACTTTACAAAACTATAGAGAGTTATACATAAACACGATGGTTGGTTTACCTCTTCTGCATCTTTCTTGCTAGCTTCAATTTGAGCCTCGATCTCAGCTTTGAGTTCATCCATTTTCTTTTGTTTTTCTTCAGCCTCTTTCATGGCTCCTTCTCTAGCCTGACTCACAAATGAAAACATGCGTAATAAGCCTATGTATCATATTATCTTCAGTATTATACAGGATGGGCCAAAAAAGGTAGACTAAAATCTTATACTAAGTGACTGAGTTAAAAAGATTTGTATGTATTGCCTTTTTGGCTCATCCTAGCGTTGCGCCCCCCCCCCCCCCTCACCGAAAGTAACGTGCCTTAATTAGATTTTACGATATTTGACTAATTGCAAGCTGTATAATACGAGGCTGGTTTTCATGTTTAAATTGAATAATACATGTAGGGCTCCGCTAAATTTGGGCTTTACCTCGATGAAGACTTTCTGCTGTTCTTCGGAGAGTGCTTCGAATTCTTTCTCGAGTTGTTCCTTGATTTCATCTTTGGCTTTGTTGAGCTCTTCATCAAAGACTTTCTTCATCTCGGCTAGTTTGGCTTTCTGTTCCTCTTTCTTCTTCTGCAATATGAAGAGTAATTCAGGTAAATCAAGTAAGAGTTAGTCTGGGGTCGAGGAAGTGTGTCAGGGCCTTGGAACTATATTTTCCACTATGCATCTTAATTACTATGTGTGAATTATGTTAGATTCATATATCAAAACCTACAACTCCTAAAAAATACCACTCGGCCATGGAAGCCGGACCATCTATTCATATAGACTTCTATTTTGTTCATTTAGGATAATGTCTTATGTTGCATTGACTTACGTTGCTTGCAGCCTCTCGTTTTTCCCATAGAGATCTTGCATCAGCAAGGATTGACTGGAGATCTTCGGGTAGTTTATCAAATTCTGCTTCAATTTGGCTCATGATCTCTTTCCTGATTTGTTCCTAATTTATACATAAACCAATAAAATCAACAGCATTTCGGCAAAAAGTATTTTAAATTCAATTGTACCGCATGTACAAGCTGAATGAAACAAGCGTGTCAAATAAAACTTATAATAAGCTGAAAACTAGGTTGAAAGCGATCTCTTAAACCCACGTGTTCTGTTTGACCATATTTATAAAACTCTTGCATAGAGGTATATCATCTGCACTTACCTTCTCTTCATCCTCGACCTTCATTGGCGCTGCCATGGCAACAGCCAGACAAATGGCGAACACGAAAAACCTCATTTTATGTCTGAAAATATGATAATATGTTTTAGTATCCGATAACTTCACTAATGGAAAGAACACTATGATTAAAATAGGTATTGATGTCTTAATTATTTTATTTTAACTCAGCACTGCCATGTGAATTCACCATGTTAATTTACGTTGTGAATGGTGGTAGCATCTATTGTTCTATCTATTTTAGTGGGTTTGTGTTCTTCAAATTGTGTACATTGCGTTTTATATTTTATATCTTTGGAAATATGATTAATTTCATTTTGACATTAAAAGGCTAATGACACTAACGCAGGAATTTTTTCGTTATATCAAGATGCGTAGATTATTCGAGGCGGTTGAGCAAAAAGTATAATTCTTCTGAAATCTAAGCCAATGTAAATATTGTAAATATTTTACGCGTTAACTTTCTAAATCACTTACCACTGCAAATCAACTTGAAATATCAGTGTAACAATAGCCCAGTTGACGCTTGAATATATACCCACTTGCCCGGGAACTAGTGGGAGTTGCTTTTGTTATCAGACAAACAACAACAGTTCCCATGAGCCATTTTGAGAGATAAAATATAGTTCTGTATATCCTGCATATGAAATATACCTTCAAACGTGATGGGATACGTAGTCATGAAGATGTGGTATCAGTGCTATCTATCAGATAATGTTTAACATTGTGGGATGGTACAGATGGTAGCATCAACAATCAACATTGTTATCTATCATGATCAATTCTACTATGCGCATGAAGTGTTCATGGTTCAACCCATGGCGATAAGTATATTTTGTTGTGCGTTTACTCATATTATCAGATACCTGGTCATTGTCCACTCACTATCGGGAAATCAAATTATCTCAATGTCATCTAGATCTATTTTGGAATCATGTTTGTGAACGTTGACTTCTGTGTACAGACAGATACTGTGCTTTTACCCTACTTTTTTTTGTTAAATCAATGCAGAAATATTATTTTGAATACTGCTGATAGGTGGCGCAACTAACAGCATCGTTCTGTTTTTTGTTTTCATTTGATATCAACTTAAGTATCAGATGGGGAAATCATGATATACCGCTGCTAAAATATCTTAAGGTCACGAAGGGCATCAATGCTCGAAATTGTACATCAATATATTTGAGGGATAATATGACACATGTAATTGTATCTTAATGAGGAACGAGTCCCATATACAGTCACTCCATGCGATAACTATAATATAATGTTCTGTGAATTTCCATCACCTGGTTAGTGTAATTTATTAAAAAACATTTCTTTTAAGAGTATGTATTTATTATATTTTTCAATGCAAAATACTGTTTACTTGAACTATATTCTAGGCTGTTTTCTTTAGTACATATTGTGTACGACTTGGCATTTATATTCTTAAAATAAGTGTAAAACATTGTTTGGTTCTTTTTATTTACAATAAGATAAGTTGTCCCTCTTCTGACATTTAATACATTTTATTTCTTTCACTTATTAATGACATGACCATAGTGAGCATACCTGTACACTTGGTAAATTAGTATTTTGTGCAGGTCTCTGAAAACAGTTAAATGTGTTGCACCACATGTTTCTTGACACTCTCATCCCTTTGAAACAAGTGTTACGTCACTAGATTTTCAAGTCATTTACCAATCTTCATAAAGTCTCAACTTTTATGAATGAAATGTCCCTTGGTGTTCTGGTCCTGGATTGTGATATCGGTTCTCGATTGGAGAGGGGGGAATGTTAAACATTATTTCCTTTCACGTTAGATCACGGCTTCGGTATATATAGGGTCTATTTTCTTATGACTAACACTTTTATGGTTAACACTTTGAGTTTTACTTTTCTAGCTAGGTTTCTTTTTCTTTACAGTTTTTGGTTATTTCCCTTAGGCATTTGTGCTTAGATATCAACTCCGCATTTTTATTTGTAATTTTTCGGCAATTACGAATTAAACTTTTTTCTGTATAGTTGTTAAATGCATAGAAAGCTTAGACTTTGACCACCATTTTTATGATAACCAGGGGCGAGATGGCAATTCAAGCAAAGAAAGTATATCGTTATCTCGCAAATTCAAAATATTATTATATGCTTTCCATGGTAATAATATTTACAGTATATATTCCTTCCTATATGTATGCTTATATATTCAATGTTCCGTCATACGTGCTCTAAATAGTAAATATACATACTTCATTGTATTTATTTTATATATTTACAAAATATTTTTACAATTTGTTGCAATTCAATTCACTGGGAGCCTCAGCAAAATGGGCTGACTTTTCACAACTTTGTTCTTCTATGTCCAATCTTTCATTAACAACATCTTTCTCGTCACTAGTAGCTCCGATCGCTCCCTCGTCACAGGACATAGCGAGCACTTCATCATAAGATGGTGGGTTACACTCGAGAGAATCAGTTACCGCATCATCGTACGCGGGGGGTATTGGAACCGTCACCATTGAATGTTGAGAGATAGACAATTTGGGATAAACTCCCCTATAAGGACATTGAACAATCACACTAGGACCTTCAGTGTGCTGTTCGAGACCAGTAACAGTTGGATGTGTGCCATTTTCAACAACAACTTCGCCAGAAATGCTATTTTCTTCCACAACTCCTTCATTTTCTAATGATTGAAGATTGTCTGCTGAGTTTGATGTATTCAAATCGGTTGTGGATTCTCCTTCAGTCTGGGGTCGCATTAAGTTTTCTATCACTGCAATAAAGTTGCGTTCTCTCTTGTCATCTGCCTGTCTGTTACCTCGTCTGAAATTCAAAGGTTTAATGAGATATTCTTAAGGTATACTAAAGGAATGTTAATGTAACATCTTCGCTCGTTGAAACGACCAGTCACGATATTTATAGAATCATAAATATATTATTCTGAAAGTTAAAGTTGAACTCAACCTTACATTCTACATAAGTGACATAGCCTTGCAAATCCCATTGCCAAGCACACAAGGCACACAATTGCAACCGCGGGAACGATAATACTTCCAAAGTACCCTGGGAGGAGACTTCTGGTGTAGAAAGGTGGCGCTATCGTAGTCCCATTCATCCGGGGTATTCGTGTCGGCATGTTTGATAGGCTAACAAACTCTACCGTGAATTCGAAGTCGATCATGCGGAAGTCAACTGGTGTGTTCCAGAAGGTTAAAAGAGAGACAAACTCATTGCTCTCGCTGAAATAATCTTTGGGTGCCTTACTAGTGCAGAAGAATCGTTTCTGGAAAAGGAGGTAAAAATATGTTACTTTTAATAGTATCTTGGGATTTCGCTCTTTTGAGCATTGTATTTCATTCTTTTAAGACTGTACTTAAAGTCATTGTATGAGTTAAATGAGATTGTATGGCTAATTATGTTCTGCATTTTGCTGATATTCTTTACTAAGTGCTACATATCCTGAAATGGGGCATCCGTTCAAGGTTGTACCAAAAACGCTGATAAGATGAAAACAATTATTACCATGCCGATATCTCCATGCATCATCAGATCAAGCTCAGCGTATGTTTTACACGGTAGCCGCAGATTGTTGAAATGTATGTGTAGTCCTAGGTTAGGATTGTTCCCACTGATAACAAGCTTACAGAAGGAAGGACTGCTGGGGAACGACATTCCCCTTGTGTAGCTATGAGCACTGATGGTCACTCGGTCATTTTCTAGGAGATTTACTCTGACTGTGTTATCTCTTGTCCCAATGCATGCATGGTTGTAGCCATTCAGACTGTATGAAAACTCTATAAATAGCAACAAATAAAAAAATTTATATAATCATATAATATAGTATTCATTTGAAGCATAAACATCGAATTATAAGAATTATTTTGAGATTGAATTATTAAAGTTGTATTGTTTATCAACCGTGATACGCCGTCGCATCACATGACTGTCACGCTGAGTTTGTTAACTTTAAAATAACTTACTAGAAAAAGTATATTAATCAAACTGACAGAACATCCAATGCATGAAAGGTAATGATCATCATTGAATTATTAAAGTTGTATTGTTTATCAACCGTGATACGCCGTCGCATCACATGACTGTCGCGCTGAGTTTGTTAACTTCAAAATAACTTACTAGAAAAAGTATATTAATCAAACTGACAAAACATCCAATGCATGAAAGGTAATGATCATCATTGATTATTTGAGAGCATTGTTCTAGCGTGAAATGGATGAGAATGTACAGGGTGGTCCAAAACCCCTGCAACGGGCCATATTTCCCTTATTACTTGCAGGGATTCTTTTTTATTTTCACATGTTGTAGAGGAAGGTCTAACATTTATGTTGGTACCATACATTATTCTTAGTCTTGAAATTTGCAGAAATTATAAGCCCTAACCAAATATTACTGAAAATGGATAAAATGTGATTTTCAATATCCGCGATTCTTCAACACGTCAACACCCTTCCCCTGACATTTTTTAAGCTGCAGTTTTTAAGAACTAATATTTTCAGACTTTGTTCAATTTTGAATCCCGCTCATTATGGCTTTAAACTAACATCCTACCTTTGTTAGTTGCATTTAGTTATTGTGATCCAAAGAAATGTTCTAAGCTTCCATCGACGAAAACATTTTCCAGTGAAATCGCGAACATACCCCTATATGATCTTGAAATGTCAATATCTTCATGAATCATGGACCAATTCTAATGAAATATGGCTCAAAACATTGAATATTGGATTTTCTTTTGAATTTTTAAAGATATTTGACGAAGGGCTTCTCAGATTCCAGGTCACAGGGGGCAGCCTCCCTTCACAAGAGCCCCCCCCCCTCCCTCTCTCTCTCTAACTGTTGGTGTAAGTAACATAACTCCGAACTGTTGAACAGTTAAACTGCTTCAAAATGATCAATAAGAGTGTGAAATGTGTTTTCTGCTTAACTAGTGTCCCTTTTGTCATATGGTAGGGTTTTAAACTTCTATCTCGAACTGAATTAAAGCTGTTCAAGATCATCCAATATGTTTCAACTAATTCCGTGAATCACATTGGTAAAATTTTGCACAATATCTTATTTTCAGGCATGTTTGTTTAACTCTTGTAATTTCTTCAAAATTTAAGACTGAGAATAAATTATGGCACCAAAAATTTAGACCTGTCTCTACAGCATGTGATATAAGAGTCTATTCATGCAAGTATTAAGGAAAATATAGCCTGTTCCAGGGGTTTACTTTTTGGACCACCCTGTATACCTTTTAAAGTTGAAACGTGATACAATGTATTATTGTATCATTATTTGTGTCTATGGTCGTATACGAGTTCATTAATCACACTATTCCACGAACTTTAATTACTTAGCATGGGTTGCTAGGTAACCATGACGTATTGTAACTCCAAAAAATAGATAAAATGATATCAAAGATGATTATTCATGTACATTATAAGCAATACTAATTTCAACACGCGCAAAACCTACTTATATTAATTGAAGAGAACAGAAACAGTAATAAAAACAAAGTTTACCCCTCCCCTTTAGTATATTGACTTTAGCCGTGTGATCGCAAATAGTAAAGATAAAAAGCTTAACGTGAGGAGAGTATACTAGATAGTATTCAAATAGAAGTTTAATTCCTGTGATCCCTCTCCCAATAAAATAACAAAACAAGGCGTGTGCGGTTGGTTAGATGGCAGAAGCTTGTCTGTTAGACTGGTCATCGCCGGGAGGGGTGTGAGTGTGGACACCGCGATTCCCGGGGTTACGATGGTCAGTCTAAGACGCTGCGTTTTTACAAAACCCATTTACACAACTCGACAGCCCCCAAAACCGCCAAACCGCACACGTGAGCCCCTAGTCCTTAAGATAAGGTTATGACGTCTAAGCAACAGGTGTCGGTACGGACCCTAAATATGGAAAACAAAGTTGTTACCACAAAGTGAAGTATCCTAGGCGAAACATAAAATATCGAGGACCGTATAGTAAATAAGATAAGAGGGATTGTAAAAATGCATAGGGGTTAAATAAAGGTACAATGACACAAAGTAATTTAAAATTGCCGATATGATATCAAAACAAAATAACAGCGAAGAGGAATGCACATGTCACATGTATGAACGCACATGGAAGAAGAATTCAATTGACACGCAAAGTTCACATTCATTCAGGCTTCGTGACTGCTATGCAGTTAGATAAGCATTGTTCGTCCTATACCCTGTGAATGTGTGATATTTTCTAAAATCAAACGTGTTCAGTCAATTGCAAAATGCACTGGCAAATGATCAAACTTGAAATTAGCTTCGTGTGTGAGCCTTGGTAGCCTCTCCTGTGTGGGAAAAAACCTGCAGAAAATCAGGAATTGATTGTGATAGGCTCGAAATGACTGTTGATCCCATGGTAAAATCTTAATATGCAAAAGAAAAATGCAAAACATGCATGTATCATAAGATATAAATGGTTTTACAACAAAGCTTACGCCTAAGATAAATAACACAGTGTACGTATAGAAGTCGCATAATATTCGCACCATTAGTATAATAAGGTTCTAAGTGACATTTTGAGAAAAATGCTGTAACTTTGCATATTGACTAATTTGGGCATGCTCTTTCCAATGAAATCAACCACAAATGTCCATCTTTGCTCTAAATATGCTTTTCTCAATATCAAAAGGGTGTAAGTCCATTTAATTTACAATAAACTATGTATAAGAAGGTTCTAACTCTTATCCAATCAAATTTAAATGAAAAAGTTCTATAGACAATGACAGTTATAGCTGGTATTATAAGGTTCTAATTAACTTCAGCTCTTGACCAATCAGAACTTAACATTTGATCATGTGACAGGAAAACAATAATAATTAACACGTGGACAAGCATTGAGTTTTTTAAAATGTTGAAATTGTTTATTTGGAGATATTACGAACCAAATTGACATGTTCGGTACGTGAAAGACTAAAGTATCTGTCGCTGGCATGTGAAATCGGTTTCAAGAGTTTTGAATTTAAAAAATTTAGAACAACTTTTGTCATTTTTCAAGTTTTTGTAAATGTAAACAAAGGAGGTTGGGACCCTAAGGCTTTTTCATTATTCTATCCACAAAGATGTGTTTGGTGTCTATAGAAAGTAGAATCAATTCCCTAGTGCATGTGCTATACAGATCGCCGTGCGAACTTGCTGTGAAACATAATCTCAATTTCCGTAAGACAAGGTCACTGTTTTTCATGAAATGATATGATTTATTCCGTATAAATGTCAACAAAAAAACTAGAATTAAAACTAGAAAGTAAGAGGAAACAGCATAAGAAACATTAGAAAGTAAAAGTATGGACAAGCAAACATAAGCGATAGTGTGATAGTGAAGATAATGTCCATAAGAGTATTTTTTATAGTAAATATACAGTAAAAAATCAATTCAGAAAGCAAAAGAAACAGCATATGAAACATGAGGAAAATTAAGGAAAAAGTTAGTAAGTGTTAACCATGAAGTGGTAGTGAAGATAATGCTCATTATTATATTATATTATATGGAAAGTGTGTGCCAAAGTTATGAACCACATAATGTATGAAATCAAAACGTGAACGTTAAAAGAAACACCATAAGAAACACAAGGAAGTAAAAGCATGGACAAGCAAACTTTATACATATTTAATATATGTTGATAAAGATAATACCCATGCTCTTTGATTTTTTTAACTTTACAAGGGTATTTTATTACACTACCTTATAAGTGTTTCATGAGTCATTACTGCTGATCTATTGGTTAAGGCCATTATAAGTAAATTGGTGTATGGAGGATACCCTTGTATAAGGATAAGGATAATTTCATTTTAAAGTATTTTTTATATTTGCCAGCAGTTTAGGATTTATAAATACAGGGTGGTCAAAAACAGGACCGAAGAAGAGTTGAATTACTTTGTCAATTTTGTATATTTTCCTTGAAATTTCAGAATCGTAATTCATTTATTGGGTTTTCGACTTCAAGACAAAATATGCAAGATTGACCAGGTCATTAAACTTTTCTCCGGTCCTGTTTTGACCACCCTGTACATTAAACCTGAATAGTATTAAGATATTTTTCTGATGACAGTGAAATATATTAATTTACATATATATGCATAGTAAGTTTCAATACTGCAATTGCAGAGTTTTGTTTGATGATACAGTGTAATTGTGCAATATTTTGATATTGATGCTTATTTTATGATGACATGTCTGGACTTACTAGTTCTTTTTGTATTTTTTAGAAATATTTTTCTTTTTTTCATAATTTTGTTATTAATTTGACAACATGAAATCAAAATGACATTGTTGTTTTTTGATTCTGATCAAAATACTTTCCCCCCAATGGAATGAATGGAAAAATAAGTTCTATATGCAACCAATTAAGAACTTGGTTAGCTTTTGTCAGTAAAAGGTTCTATTTGCATTTTGAATTTTGCTTAAAAATCAAGATGTGCAGTGTCAATTTCATCAAAAATTCACCAAAAGGCAGGGTTTTATGTCATTAACCGATTCCCAAAATCTTGATGACCTACAATAAATAAAAAAAAAGGTTATCAAAGTCCAAAACTTCAATCCTGTTTTTCTCAAAACATGGTTTGAGCCACTTAGAACCTTATTATACTAATGGTGCGATATATTGCGAGAAACAGCAGGTCATGACCATGAATATTTCTAGAAAGGAACTTATTGAAGAGTATGAATAATCATGATGTATAATCAAGTGCTGAACCTGCGAATGCACGCCCAAAGACAGGGCATTGACAACGTGCGATCCGCTCATGGGTTGATGCGTGATGGTTAGATAGTAAATGGTGAAGCAAGTTTCGGGTCGCATTTACATAAAGATATCCATGCTATGCTGTTCTTAAATGACAATGTTGAGCCTTAAAGAAAATATAATCAGATTTCCTCTGATGCTTAAAATATCGAAATGTTGATAATCTGTAATTAAGAACCAATATGCATGCATCCTTGGTATTCGAAAATTGGACATTGATTTGTAGAATTTCAAGATTCAGGGGGACGCTTCTGGACTCTGAAAAGGGAAATTAATAAGAAAGAGAAATGCCATGATCAAAACACAGTGAGATGTCTCTCGCCATTCACTTTGCTACTCTGCTCAGTGCGTGAAGGCATGTGCATGTGACTTAGCTGAAATAACGAGCATAATATTAAGGCAGAATCAGGTTTATGGGGGTGACAAAATTACAATCAACTTGTTCAACTGAACAGCCAGCCAATCTATTCCTTACAATCCCAAATACGATATCCCAAAAGATCCACTACATATTATAAATCGGTAAAGTTATAATGGGTTCAAAGTCCGAAAATAGGTGCAAAATGTTTAAATTCTTCAAAATGATAAAAATAGTAACCAGAAAATTACATTATCGTACAAATGGTTAGTTTTCTTAAAATGAAATATACACTTTGGTGATTGTTAGAAAATAGACATGAAAAGGATTGACATAAGCCAGGAATATTCTAAAATATTTCTTGCTTGGCTGTTCGCTAGATCTGATTCTCTCTTTAAATTGCATGAATAAACAGATATGGGTGTCGTTCGGTGTTGATTGCATTGTCAGCATAAACGTACAGTTTCAGTGTGCAACGAAAACATGCTGAGTTATGTTATCATCCTTAAGGCAGCTTAATGATGTAGGTAGCAGAACAGAAGTTATCAAAACAAAATTAGGGAAGAAATGAATGTACGTTAAACCATGGGCTCTAGAGCCCATGGTTAAACGAAATGGCAAACAGAGCATGCGGCTGTGAAAACGACAATGCATCTAATACTAAAATAATTCGCAATGCTTGAGCCATTTAAACCCCATTTAATAGAAATAGGTAAATACCATTTGGACAAAGTTTAAACAATTTGAATTATCAATACATTAAGGTGTAACCTAAACATGCGTGGTAAAAGTCTAAAGGTGATGACAACCACTTAAAGGTTCATTAGAAGCTATTTTAGATATCACATTGTTCATGCTATTAGGCTTTAAAGCCGAGAATTCCATGCTACAAACGCATCGGAACACTAGGTGCTACGATGACGTCTACTGACGCCTATATGATATGAATAGAAAAACTGAAATTCTGGTATTCAAAATGAAATCATGTCCAAAGTCAGTAATGACGTATTGTTACAGAGAGTAGAATGCTGGAATCAATGGTATTGTTGTTCAATGTGACAATGTCACGACAATTCGTCAAACAGGTGGGGTATAGTTCATCACATAGAAACTGAGAAGCTAGCCATGCCAAGTCGCAGGGGTTCTTTCTTCTGTTATCCGTCACCATCGGATAACATGGTGTAGTTTCTTGATTGTGGTCTTCTTTGTGTATCTACGTAGTTTAATCCGCCTTCGCGTAATCAAAACCATTCTTCGATATAGTTGTGTCTGGGTAGATCATACGAAAACATCCTTGTAGTTATATAAAGAGGGGGAGAATTTCTCGGATTCTCTATTCAGCTCCTGCGTTCGAGTATTGAAGCGATCAGTTCGGGCTGTGGGTGGAATCACGCTGGGTAGTGGTCGGTTCGGTATCGAGACGATCGGTTCAGACAGTACGTCTGGCCAAGTTGTAGGTCTTTTGGTACTCATAGTTAAATGCTTATTGATCGTTCCTTATAGCTGTAACCGATTCGAAACCAAGGAATCGTACGCCAAGTTTTGATTTGCGAACCTGAGGGTTTTGTAAATCGAGCTGACACATTTGTCCATGGAGAACGACACGTGAGAAAGGCCGAGTGATGTGACTATTTATTTTCGGGCCAAGATCGCTCGGTAGATACTTTCTCCATACTATTTTTTTATCCTTGAGTATATAAATCTCGCTTTCACTCGAATGTTATATAATGACGAACCGATGAAATGATCATCGAAAGTTTATCGCAAATGCCATCTGGTTCTGAAGCACATTGTGCACATAATTACGAAGAGATATCCAAGATGTGAAAATATGTTCTATCTATCAGCCCAGTGCATCTGTTAATTAACTTTTTTATACAACGTCTGTTCATCTCTTGAACATTTAAGTGTCCTTATTCACTAACGTGATTCTGTATCTCCAGTGGATTCAGAGAGTCGTCCTAGGCAGTTTCTTCTTTTTTTATGGTAAACCAAACTATTTCTGTCGCAACATTGTTCGGCAAATGATGCTGATATCTGAAGACCATTGATGTTCAAGAAAAAGTTGTAATACAGTAAAAAACGTATGAATGATGGTATTGTAAGAATAATGAAAACGAGTATGTTGACTGTTGACTGACTGAATACAAGATGCTCGAATGTATAGTTACTGAAGTGTGTGGAGCGAGAAGAGATACGCAAGAGGCGTAACGTATTGGTCGAGTGATCAATTCCATTAACCTGGTTTTAATTCAAAAACACAATATTAGGAAACAATTTGCAATTGATATTGAAGTTAACGAAAATAAATAAGAATCAATTAAAATTCAAGTAAAAGTTCAAGACTTTTTGGACAGCCTTGAACGATGCCACCATTGATTGCTAGTATATTCAAATTTCTAGGTAATACAGTTATATAGAATCAGATAATGTCTTAACAATACATCACTACATGTAATTTGGGTACTGCAATCAACAGCAGACACGATAACAGAAACTGAACATAATCTAAGTGATGGACACGACATGAAAATTGCAGAATTGGTATCGGACGCGCCAATAGTAACTGACAAGGCTACAGATTACGACATAATTGCTGATGCCTGGGAATTCAAGTATAATTCGCTGAAGAAACAAATATCAAAATTTGCGCTGATCACCTCCATTCAGAGTCTTCTTCAGGTCCGCAATGCAAAATCTGTGCTCGTTAGAATAATTTGGTTTCTCATAACCCTATTTGTAAGTAGTCTCACGATTAAAGGAGTCCATGAAATCACTCAGAAGTACCTCAGTTATCCAAGTGAAGATATTCTGTATAGTAGGGAAGAATTGGTAACGTTTCCATCAGTTACAATATGTGGTATAAAACCTGTTGTTTTCACAGACGAGGAGCTAGCTGTTCAAAGGAAAAATCCTCTCCATGTATCACACACAGTAGATACCGAAAGTGCTTGGATATACCATGATTACCGTCTACAAATGTTGGAATCTCGAGCTTTTTCAGATAAAAAGGAAAAGGATCAGAAACGCATTAATGCTGTTATGCGACGGATTGTCTCTGAGGAAAGATATGTAGAAAACCTTCACAACTGGAACCAAATTCGACTCAGAACGTATGACGACCTCATCCTAGAATGCCGCTTTAAAGGGAAACCATGTGGCAAAACAGATTTTAAGCAAGTAACAGTTGGACGTTATGGCAATTGCTTTACGTTCCAAACAAATTCCACAGATGACAGGTATAGTTTAAGCGAATCTGGGCCAGATTTTGGTTTGAATCTGATGTTGTTCCCAAACAGCTATTCGCCTCTGGATGAATTTACAAATTCGGATGCATTTAGAATTTTCTTAATGACAACCTCTTCGGACTCTTCAATACTTGGTGAATTCAACAGTGACTTTTCAACAGCAAGAGATGGAATCAGATTGTCCATTCATGCTCCTGGGACTATGCCCGATCCTGAAAATGATGGAATTGACCTTTCCGCAGGAACATTCAGTTCTATTGGTCTCTCACAAGATGTTCGAACTTTGTTGGGACCCCCACATGGACTTTGCACAGATAAGAAATTCAACGAACACACAACTTACACGTACACTCAGAAAATGTGCCTCAAGCAATGCCAGCAGATGGAAACAATAAAAAGATGTAAATGCATGAACCCGAAACTCCCTTTGCCATCACATATCGAAAAAACACATAAGATACAATATTGTGGATACAAAATGAGACAGGAATACATAAAAGAGTTCATTAGGGAAAGAATGGCTTTCTTCCCACCAGAGAAAATCCAATTTGACTGGAAAATATTTATTGAAAACCATAAATTGTATGAGTGTGAAAAGGAAGTAGCAAAACTATTTTCTCTCGGTGGAAAGAAATGTGGTTGTACGCGAGAATGTAAAAGCACAGTGTATTACTATCTAAAGCACTCGATTCCATGGCCAAATGAAAGATATTATAAAAGTCTCAAACAAAGAAATTTCATTTCTTTCATGAGAAATCATCCAAAGGTATGTAAGTTTCTAAACAAGACGTATTGGTCAATGATTGGAGTAGATACACTAAGTGTTTGTGAGTGGACAGTTAACTTGTTTTCAGCTGAAATTTATCAAACTGCCGTTCAAAATGGTGGATACGCGTATTTAACTTGTCCGCCAAATTCCTCATATCCCTTTGCATACCCTTCCTCATATCCCTTTGCATACCCTGCTATAAATTGGTACCCATTTATCAACAAATTCATTGAAACAAACTTCTTGAAAGTCAACGTATTTTACAGTTCTCTCAATGTGAACAGGATTGCCGCAGAGCCTAGCTACCCATTCAATAAATGGTTATCTGATTTTGGGGGTATCATCGGAATGAACATGGGTATGTCAGTTGTGTCTCTTGTAGAGTTAGGATACCTAATGGTATCCATGGCCTTCATTCTCTACTGCAAGTATAAATAGGGACAAGTAGACACCACTTTAATACTTGATATTGATTTATCAGCCACAGAGGCATATGCCGTAAACAGCTTTGCAAAAAGCTATATGCAGCATGATTTACAAAATCTTGTACCCGATCCGAGAGACAAGGTCTCCAAACAAACTTTAGTATAAAAACAATATATACAGGGTGGGCCAAAAAACAATACTCAAGTTTAAGGTGAAATTCATATGATATAACGTTAAACCATACCATGTATTGTATATTATTTTAAAGATAAATCATTTCCTCACAATATGAAACCATCTGATTGAAAAACTGTTGTTTCCTTGTGAAGTTAGAGACTCCAATTGACACCAGGGGTGTCATGAGCGACCAAAAATGTATTCACTGTGGATTTCCAAATTGTGGAAAATGGAGGGAAATTTGAACGTTGGCACCTTTAAAAGAGGTAGATTTATACAAGTAAAGTGAAAAATTCAGCAATAATATTGAGATATTTTTAATCAATTATCAATTGTGTATTGCTCTTAAATAAATCATTGATGATTTAGTCAAGCAAACTGAGTGCAGCTGTGACTGCAATATGGAGGAAAATTTGGGAATTTTCATTTTTTGATTTCTGGTCCCTCGCGGCACCCCTGGTGTCAATTTTAGTTTCTAACTCAACAAGAAAAGAAAGGTTTTTCAATTGGATGGTGTCATTTTTTTAGGAAATGATTTATCTTTAAAATGATATACTGTACAATTCATGGCATGGTTTAACATATATCATATGAATCATTCATATTTAAACTTGGGTATTGGTTTTTTGGCCCACCTTGTACATGTAATGATGAGAATATGATATCCAAGAGCAGTTTTCATGTAATATCCAAGACTAATTATCATTTGGCTTTAAAGATGGCTTTAAATATGAATTATTGTAAACTATGTTATCTTTTTTGATTGTTGATTAGGGATTTAATTAATTGTGTTAAATCCTCATTAAGATTTAGAATATGTGTTGCCCTCTACATTCTAAATATCGTACTATGTCCTGATCTCATGCCATTTACAGAAATACCTTCAAATAATTGCACATCTACTTTTCTGAAGACTCTTGAACAATGCTTTTAACACAATATACGTATACTATGCCTCGTATACTGTGGTATGTAATTACAATTAAATTCAAGAAGAATAGGTATTTTATGTCATTTTGACATGGCTTTATTGTATGTTTTCTTCATTGTATTAGCCTATGCGATCTTTATTCTATTATTACAAGGGGCATCTGAGAAAGAATCCGCAAATTACTCGTTCGTGATAGATTGAATGGTAATTGTACATTTGAAGCTGGAAAAGTCCCGGTGTGAAAGAAATTATGGTCCCCTGGGGATTATGGTCCCCTTTCTAATCGCCCCTTACCCTACTATCACACCAAACTAGTTCTCACTACGTTCTCGAGAACGGGCTTCAACTGTGTACGAACGGACTGGACGTACTTAGAACCGTTTGGGGTCTATTTACAAACTTCATCGAACGTACTCGAACGGGTAGGTCCTCTAGAACTTAGAACATGCGCAAAATGATCTCGTGGTCGTCACGTTTTACAATAAGAACGAGTGACCGCGTACTAACGACGAGCTGGACGTACTACGAACGGAACCGTCGTACTTCAATCCTACTAGGGACGTTTTTACAACGAGTTGAACTGTCTGAGGACGTTTTGAGAACGAGGTAGAACTAATTGCAAACGGGTTTAAACTGACTAAGAACGTATTAAAGACTGCTTATGGTCGAGTTAGCCAAAATATAGCTATCACACCAAACAAGTTGCCACTGCGTTCTTCAAAACTGGTTTTAAACTTTGTGCGAACGGAATGAACATAGCTGCAACTTTCTAAGGTCTACTTACGAACTTCATGAACGTTCTCAGACGGGAAGGTGATTTTAGAATTTTGAATCGATTCAAAATTCGATGCCGACCATACCGTTCTGTAATCAGGTCATGATGACCTTCTAGACTAAGGGACGCGTTAAACGACGTTGCACACCGATCGTGGTACGACCTGAACGAACTGCGAATGAGATGGACGTATTGAAGACTGTTTATGATCGAAGTAGCTAATTATTTTAGAGATATTTCCCGACCACAGCCAGATTGAGCCCGTTTTACGACGTTTTCGTAGGACTGGCAAGAACGGGTAAGAACTAGTTTGGTGTGATAGGGGGGTTACTGGCCCTGATTGTGTATAAGATAATAAGGGAAAGAGTTGTATTTAGGTCACCATATAAATCAATGGAAAGTAGGACCATAATTTGATAGGACCACCTACCCTTTTACACCGGGTCAGTTTAAATACAAGTATCTAAAGACTGAAGCAACATGAAGCAAAATACCATTTGTTTGGAGTTGTCGGAATTTGATGAGTTAGTAATTTTTCACTTGTCCCTTTTTAGCTTAAATCTCGGCTACGCCATTAATAGTTGGAGAAAGGTTTCAAACAGCCCCAAGGAGGATTGGCTCCGAGAATGCAACATCGATATTCTGTGTCATATATGGGCATGTCGTGATACAATATTCGAATTCAAACAGTCGCCATTATATTCACTTCAACATTTGAATCGTGAATTTTGGTCTTATTTCCTAACGAAAAATTCCAAAACCCACAAGTAATGATCTAGATGTTGGTTCGATTATTTTGAACTGTTTATTTTGAATTTATAGTCGGTTATAATTTCAGAAAATTAGACGTTTTCATTGTTTGAGTTTTGATCCTGGGACCCAATCCTCCTTGAAACAACCCATAGTTTCCTCCCGGAGATTGTTGTTCATCGTTGTGTTTCATTAACTATGGTATCGGCTTTACAGATGGAGATTCACTTTTGGCCATGATGTTGTATAACTCAATAGCATCAGTATGAACATTGCTTAAAGTCTTATGGTTTGATTTCAGTAATAAGTCATGCGTTTCCCCAGTTTTCAATACTTTTTGTAATACTTTTGACATCAAAAGTAGCTGTAGAAACAAGTTAGCATATAAGGTGGAGAGCATTTAGTTTCATATGATTCAAGACAGAAAAAAGACAGTCTCAAGTTCAAAAAAGTGTCAAAAGGTAAACATTCATCCACCATATTCATTGACGCGAAAGTCTGAAACACACTGCAGTAATCAACATTAGCCAACAGGATGAAACGTATAAATTAGCAATAGTTATATCATCTGAAAATAGTTCGATTTCCATAGGTGAACCGAACTATATTAACCATCAAAGCCATTTACGATCCATGCTAAAATGATAATAAAAATGACTCAATAATTCATTTGTTTGACTTCGAATCAATCATGGAAAGCATTCAACTTACCCTTTGCTCCCGTCATGGCCAATACTCCACATGATAGTAATATTAAAAATGCCATTATTTCATTTCAAATCAAATATATTTACAAATATTAGGATAAAAACTAACATTTGAAGGTCTATGTTGCCTACATTGCAAAAAGTGCGTATTGAAATAACAATCATCCCTTGGATATATTTTTCTGTTTTTTATTATAATAGATTGAAAGGATAGACCAATATATGCATATTACTGATGCAATATAAAATGAAATTTGAATAAGCAAATGTATTGAGAATATCAACCCAAAATGGGTCACTTTTAGGCCAAATGAAAATGGTTCAAAACGTGTTGACATGGTTCTAAGGGTAGTGCGATAGTCAACAAAATAGCTTTAGGATATTTTTAAAGCGAGTCTGATTCGAGGTTGTCCCATAAATGCCATTGTATATAATGATTTGTAGTTTTTACTATAGACACTAGTCAGATACATGTTGTTATACCTTGAATTTCACTTTTTACAACATGTACACCGTTGCTCATAAATATGGATTTTTTTCAAATTTTTCATCGATTTCAAAAGAGGTTTTCATTTTTCAGTTTGTTCATTCCAATTAAATAATCCGTCAGAATTTGTGGGGAAATATTTCGGCGAAAGACCATATTCTTGAGACTTTCTAAAGTTTCCTGGAATGAATTCCTTAACCGTTTTAGAACAATAATTTTTGTTTTAAATCTAAATTTTGTTTTGAATTATAATGATGAAGAAAACTGATTTATGCAAGATATTGGAGCAACTGTGTACTACTATACTTTTGCACACTTAATGATGTAGTGTTACGATCGTTTTGAATGATATCCGGGATCTGAAAATAATTTATGGTTTTTCTAAAGTAAATACCGTCTACATGTGTAATCTGTATGATCCATGTATTCCAAGCATCAAAATCAATTCCAAATGCTTCAGTAATACGATCGCTGTGAATTGTATAATGTGGTATAATGACACTTCTATATTTTTGTGACTGTATTCGTGCTTGTGGTAGACAATGATGGACTTAAACATTGTTAAAAACTGCACTCATTACTCACTCATTTCTATTCTCAATATCATCTGATAGAACGCGATTTATTTCACGTTAGATCATGGTTTTGGGCTATATGGGGTTTGTTTTTCTTGACTGGTATGCATTTAGAGTTTGCTTTTTCTTTCTAAGTTCCATTACAACTTTTGGTCCTTTCCCTTTGGCACAAGTGCTTATATATTATAAATTTGAAAAGTTGGTGGTAGTCTAAAATTCTGGTAAGAATATGATTACTTTTGAACCC